CTGTTCAAGTAAGTTTGTGGAATACTTTTACATCATATTAAGTTTTAAGTTTTCTTGTCTCAGTGCTTTTAAACTTGTTTGTATAGACAGTATTGTAACACTGAATTAAGGCTTTTGTTCCTTCAGCTGCCCTGCAATTCGAGGAATAGCATCTGGAATTTAAAATAATAAAATTGCATGCTTACATTTATTTCCTAAATAAGGTGTGTAAAGATGGTCACGTTTTCACAAGCAGCAAACTTCTTGACTAATGAGACTGGCCTGCAAACACTTGGCCATGAATAAAATTGTTTGATCAGATATTGATAATCAACTCCCATCTTGTGGGCCTTAGAGAAGCAATGTAATTGCTATATAACAATATTCTAAAGAAAGCAATCTATTTAATTACAAAAGGTTTATAAAAGCCCAAAACACGGCAGCAGTTAGTGAGAAGCCATTCATTATAAATGCCTGATTAAATGAAGAGAACCTTGTGAAGTATTTAGCAAAGCTTGAGGTTTCACAATTAACAATTTCCAGAAATAAAGCAGCTGAGCACAGACAAGATTAAGACAGCAATTGAAAAATGTACCCTGATCAATGACAACAGTTACAGTACACACCAGTTTGCTAAATAAGTCTTCACCATTCAGTGCAGCTTTTTCTTACTTTCTCTATCACAGCTGCCCCAACATGAAAAGATATGTATGTATTTGTTCTCACAAGGTCATAACAGGAACAAAAGTACAGAAAGATCCACCAACCACAGAGAGCTGACACCTTTTTAGACCCTCTGTACTTCACTTGTGAAGCCCAACCTAGATTTCCAAATGATGGCTGGATTAAAAGGGAAAACAGTTATCCTTTCTCTGGGAAGAGAACCTTTCTGAAATTTAACAACAAAAAAGTAATATACATTTTCTATTCTGTTTCAAAAAAATCATATACAGAGACAACACGTGGCACTTGCAGATCATTAGTAGAGCTGAGTTACATCTTCACACCTGTATCATGGGGGAGGAAAAGGGCAAAATGATATAGACTAAGTACAGGAAAGTACTAAAGAATAAAACATTCAATGAAGTTGCACTCTTGTGCACATTAAAAAATGACATTTAAAACACCTTGAGTAAGGAAAACAACAACAAAAATCGGATGATCTTTGATCTGAGCTGGGTAGGTAACATCTCTGCGCAGATACAGAGCTGATGCAAAAGTTTTAACATCTTTAAAAGTCCTGGAAAAAGAAGGATGATTTATTTTCACATAACACAATACTGAGAGACTCAGAACGCGCATTCTGTCAAGAACTTTCATGTACATAATGATTCCAGCAACTCTCAAGAGGTGGTTTTTGTTGGTAGTGGTGTTGTTTTGTTGGGTTTGTTGTTATTTTTTCCAACAGCTTGCACGTTTCCCCTAGCAGTAAGCTGGCTACAAGTTCAGTATTGATTCTTCCATTCTCTCTCCCACATACTAATATGACTATAACTCATTAATGACATCCATAGATTACATAAATGAAAACTCCCTAAGACTTGTTTTCAAATTATATTTCCAATATTTTGATGGTAGACAGAAGATATGGGCTATAGCCTTTATTTTCACTTACTATAAGACAAATCCCTGAGAATACCCCTATTTTAAGAAATGCACTTGCTACAACTCTTGCAGTCTTCTATCCCCTATCTACACTCTACTGAAATTAAACTACTTTCTGTGAATCCCACACCTCTAGCTTCCTTTACTACATGTACACATCCTACCAGCATGGAAATTTCCTGAAGGTATTGCAAGGCTCCTAAGGGTAAGGCTATTGACTCCAATTGACATTAATGTCCAATGCTTCCCAGCAAAAAATCCTCTTTCTAGGTCAGATAACTGTTTCACACTTTCAAATAGACATTTAAAAAACATTTTAAGGTTCAAGTTTGACAGAGTCTACAAAGGATCCTGTCTGAGGAAACTGACATTCAGGTTAAGGGGGCTGCTCGAAGGAAAATGGAAAAACAGAAGAGGTTAGCTGGTTTGACAAAGAGGTAGAAAAGATGATGAGCTAAGATTAAGCATATCCGAACTTCTATGTTCCATCCACTTATTTCATGCTCTTTTTGTAGGAAGGAATGGCAGACATTGCCCTAGCATGAGATCAGGATTTTTAGGCAAAGGCCATACTGGTGATATGGCAGTCAGGCAAAAACTCCTGAAAACAAGGTCTTTAACTTCTCAGCCATCATGGCAGATTAGAGCCACACAGGATAATTTCTAGCTTACTTTTATACATCCCCATTCAAGTTGGATCAAAAATCCAGAACACCAAGTTTGGTAATCTCAGTTGAGCTCTATTTGCACGGCTATTTATATCAGGCATGTTGGCATGGTCAAAAATCTCAAGATACTAAACCACGGTGGTATTAATAGAACAAAAGAACATGGAGGCTTACTGCATTGGTTTTTCAGTTCTGTTTCACTGGACAATAAACAAATTAAGGGGGAAAGTGGGATAAACATATTCCTATTCCGTTCACAGTATATTTTAATTTTCAAAGAGGCCTGACAATCAAATCAAATGACTTTGTAGGGGATTAGGCCTGACAAACAAATCGAATGACCTTGTAGGGGGCTGAACAGGCTTTGCCATGCCAAGGATATGATAACTGAAAACAAAAGAATGATTTCTCCTGTGACTGAGAACACATACTGCTGCTCCTGTACGGAACTAGTGTGCTGAACTATAAAGCTACTTTTTTTTGCTCCTCCAGTGCTCCAACAACATAACACCCCGTTTTTTTCAAGACATGTTCAGGTAAATCAGCCAACATTTGAATTATTTTTTCATGAAACTCAGTCACAGTTATTAGCAAACTAGACTCTTTCTGAAAAACAGAACTTCTAACAATTAATATTCTTAAAGTCCCCCTTCTCCCTGTTACTGTTTCTGGACACCACCTGTGTTTCAGAAAAGAAATTAACTGAAAGGGTGAACAAAGATTCATATTGCTTAACAAAGATGCAAATAATTCTCAAATTTCATCAGCAAGCAGTGAGATATTTTCAAATACACAATAAATCAGGGAGGTGTGTAGGAAGAAATAGTGTCATCTCACCATCCGTATCACTCCCACACAAAATAAACTGATCTACAGTCTTCCCAGGAGTAACAGCAGCACTGAAACAGATCTCATAATGAGGATGCAAGTTTAGAGACAGTATTCCTCTCCTCCGTGGAAGCATTCAAGGCCAGGCTGGATGGGGCTATCAGCAACCTGGTCTACTGGGATGTGTCATTGCCTTTAGCAAGGGGGGTTGGAACTGGATGATCTTAAACCCAAACCATTCTATAATTCTATGATTCTCTCTTGATAGTCACCAATAAATTTTATCTGCCTCAAAACTTAATCACCACGCTGCTAGCCCAAATACAAAATGTGTGTCAAAAGTAAATTACTCATGAAAATTAAAAACAATTGTTTACAAAACATTCTTTTTCACCATCTCTTACATCCTCGTTAGTATTACTTAGAAAAGCACTGCAAAAAACCTTGTATGCATTCTAAAATTGTCCATCTTTCCTGCGTGTTCCATCAAGTTCATCTACTTCACTGAGGTAAAATCTTACCATAGCTTTTCAGTATAGCTTGATATAAGTGAACATCTCAATTGGTAAAACAATGAGACCACTTTCCTTTATAATTTACCTTCTCTTTGGAAAGAAGAACAAAGATATTTCTTACTCAAGGTAACAACTAACAGTTTGAAACTGTCCCAGCTAAAAACATTTGTATAACAACAAGGAATAACTCTTCCAAACATGTTCTCACAATGACAAGTTTCGCAGGCTGATGAAGATCTTTCTCAGTGTATGGATAAAGTAAGTGGGATAGCATTTGAAAGCCACTGCTTATAACACAAGGTAACATCTCCATTGGGTTACACAGAAGTAGACCTACTTACTCTGTCAGTATGAATCCACTAAAGCTGTACTCACTCAATGATCTGCTATTGATTTCAGGAAAATAAATAAACAAATTCAAACCATTCAAGTCAAACTCTGGCCACGTTTTCATGTTTCCAATATGAATTTCAGACTAATAAGACACTCTCCTTCAAATGCTGAAGATACAGAGCGGTGGAGTGGAAACATCCCAAACATTAACTGAGGCAAAGGTGCATGTGTGAACAAGAAACCAAAACAGATTTCAATTTTTATAGGCTACTTCAAGGCCAAATTTTCATTAGTATTGACTTCCCCCCCCCCAGTATTTTGGCAGTACAAAAGAGCATTCTAGTAAGGTACCACTCCAGCAACAAGAATCGGCTGATCAACGAGGATATTTCTTATGCCTCTTAATACACAAAGAAAGGAAGATATTATTTTTATGAATAATTAAAGGATGATGCATTCCAAAGCATTCAGTTAAGAACACACTTAGTGTTGTGGTTTAACCCTGGCAGCAGCTCAGCATCGCAGAACTGTTCGCTCACTCTCCCCAGGTGAGGAGGAGAAGGATTGTAAAGGCTCATGGGTTGAGATAAAGACAGTTTACCAGGTAAAGCAAAAATCACACATGCAAGCAAGAAGAAATAAGGAATTAATTCACTGCTTCACATGAGCAGGCAGATGAAATGTTCAGACACTCCCAGGAAAACTGGGCTCAGCACATGCAGTGACTCCTTGGGAATACAATAGCCATCACTCCAAATGTCCCCTCTTCCTCCTCCTTTACCCCAATTTTTAATTGCTGAGCATGAGGCCATATGACATAGAATATCCTTTTGGCCAATTCTGGTCAGCTGTCCTGAGTGTGCCTTCTCCCAGCTCCTTATGCACCCCAAGCTCCTTGCTGGCAGGGCAATATCAGAAATACAAAGGAGCTTGACAGTATGCACAGCTCAGCATCAACCAATATCATCACTGCTATCACCACTATTTTCACCCAATATCCAAATCCCAGCATCATACAAGCCTATTCAAAGAAAATTTGCTCTATCCCAGCCAAACCACAACCCTCAACTTCTTTAAGAACCCAATAGCAGCATTTATTCTTTTAGGTTAATAATACAATGCGTATACTATCTTTGAAATCATTTACTCGCATTACAGCAATATTTACTGCCATTGAAAGAATTCTAAAATGATAACAGCATTGACAGCTTTATTAAACTGTTCAAGATTATTCTTTTAACATAAAGTCAGACATAAATATTTCAAAAATTGTAACTTAAAAGATCACAGATTGACTACTTAAAAGTAAATTTTCTTCATAAAATGTTTCTTTTCTTTACAGTTAGAGATCAGAAAAATGAGTCTTCCCTGCCATAATATTTTATGACATTCACTTTTGAATAATAATTGAGGCACTTTAGGGGATTATTAAGAGCTATGAACAATTAGCTCACTTAACATTAAATCTGAAGAATAATCCTATGGTATTAACTGTTACTTACGATAGTGTTGCTGTTATTTGCTTCTTAAATCAAAGTGCCAGAAGCTTAAAAGTTTGTATAACACTGGTCAACTCCAAGATTTCAGAATACATGATAATAGTAATAATTATGCTTCTCATACTTTTCCACAAACAAAAGTTTTTTTGCATATGAATTAATCCTCAGAATCCAACTGTGAGATAGGAAGACAGGAAAGTATCATTACACTTTATACAGAGTAGAAACAGACTGTGGTCAGCTGAAATCAAGCATGAGACAACTGAACAGGCTCAGTCATCTCATTTAATGTTCTATCATAATACTGCATCTCTGATATTGTTCCAGCACATTATATTCTTTTGAAAGTTTTAACTACAGTTGTCATCACAAAGTATTTTTAAAACCTGAGTTAGTATTTAGACAATAAAAAAAAACCTAACCAACAGTACACACAAGACCTAAATTTGGAGCAGATAGATTTGAGAAAAGGAGATCTGTTTGTACACCAGTTGTTCTTAGTAATTCAGTTTAAAACCTTTGCTGACTTCATAGGAAAAAAAAAATAAAATCACATCATATTTCTGTATGACATTGACCTAATACACATTCAGATAACAGAAATCAAATCCTGTTGAGCATCAGTGCACAGTCAGTGAGACAAATACGTGGCCCTCATTTCAAAGCCTTCCTAAGGACAAGAGGGGAATTAAACTTCCACATCTCACCCTGCAATTAGCTGCACACTGCTACGACTAAGATCGTAATACCTTCATGGTCCCATATACCTGGCACATCTGAAATACGAGTTCCTTGATCAAAAATTAGGAACAATAAGACCAAATACTGAGCTGGATGGAAGGGAACTTCTCAGTAGGAAGGATTTTCTTCTCATATTTGCATTTGAATTCATTTGATTTGTTGGGGTAGTTGTGGTTCTAGGCTTTTTTTGGACCAGAACAGTGACAAAAACAACAAAACACTTCCAGTGAATACTAAGGGAAGTGATGAAAGAGAATAGATGCCACTTTATTTTTCGTTCTGGCAAATGGACCATCAGAAAGAAATGCTTGCCCACATATCTATCACGGTTACTCCGTATCATATCCCAGAATGGGTCCTAGCCATTTCTCCACTTCTGCCACAGACAATTCTTTTCTTAGTGCATAATCTTCAACCTGCAAAGGGAACACAAAACACAATGAAAATTTGGGAACTCTGGCTTTTTGTGTTGACAAAACCTTTTGAAGCATCTGGACAAAAGCTGTTTTTGAATGCTGTAACAACGCCTCAACAGACTGTGCAAGTTACCTGATCTTTACATATCTTGCCAACAGCAAAATATTTTGATTTGGGGCTGGAAAAGTAGAGGCCAGAAACTGCAGAAGCAGGTGTCATTGCTAATGATTCAGTTAAACCAATTCCTGAAAAAGAGAATGGAAACATACTTGTTCTCCAGATAATAAGTGTAAGTTCAGAATCTTTTTCTGTCAGACAGCTTTAAGCAAATTCACAATCAAGAAGCTTTCCAATGAGTTAGAAAGATAAAACTACTATCTATTTGTCCATTCCAAAGAAAATACATAAAACTTTAAAATACATTGCAGATTTTCATTACAGCATTACTATAGAGTAACTAAATTGTTCGCTGGAAAAAAAAAAGGATATTTTTGAAAATGAAATGGCTAACTAGAGCTTTTGAAACATATGAACATATTTTGGAAGTGAATTAACAGTGAAACGTTCAATATGTAAAATATAAGAGGAAAACAAATAGAATTTCTTCTTTTTTTAAATGTTACCATCTCAAGGTTACTGTGGACTAGGAAACACAGTGCAGAATTAGCTTTTATTTTGTCTGTATATGGAACGTCTTCTTGTAGCCATAAGGATGCTAGAAATTTTCTCTCTGTATAGCGAAGTCCTTTTTGCACATAATTTACTAATTAAGGACAAAACTCCTTTAGCAAAACCATGGGAAGTATTTTGTATTTTTTTCCTTGCATGAGGAAAATAAAAGCAACAATGGAAGAGGAAATGCAGCCATTTCCAGAACCATGTCAGTTCCATTTTTACATGCAGTTCTTCACACTCTAATTCTTTGTTTTGTTGACATCTCATTCTCTCATTAAACAAAAACAGCTGAAAAGTCTTAGTAAGGTTGATGTAGTTACCTGTTGTTTCCTCAATGTTAGCAAGCTTCCACATGGTGAGTTTTTCTGTATGGTCAGGCTGGCTTGGATAACCAGGAGCAGGCCGAATTCCCGCATATTTAATTTTGCGTAGGTCAGAAAGATCTAGCTGCTCATCACTACAGTAAGCCCAGAATTCCCTTCTAACTCTTTCATGGAGTTCCTCAGCAAATGCCTTGAAATATAGTGAAAAAAAATATATGTAGGTTCCACAAAAAATATATATATTTTTTTTTTTTGTTGAAACAAATGCAGTAGTTATTTGATGAAGGCGTACAATGATGAAGACTTTCTCTTTGTTTCCACTTTGATTTTTTAAGAGAAAGATCTTATAACAGGTGAAAACTTTGATCACAGTAAAAGTCCCATACCATGCTTATTTTTCTAGTTCAGACCTTTTCATTTTTTCTCTTACTGGTAAATAACATGGTTGGTTTTTTTTGTTACCATGCCTTAAAATGCTACACGGTTAAATAAGCATCTAAAGCGGTCACTAAAGAAGATGAAGTTCAGTAGGCAATAGCAGTATTACATCATTATGACACTGAAGACAATAGGTCTATTTTGGATATCTCCTCCTGTGGAATGGAGATCAACCTGTGGAATGCCATTCTGGCCATACTGGTTTCAGATGTAAATACTGATTACTGCTCTTTATCAGCATCGGATCTTTCTTCTGATTGAAAGTGAGTGGCAGTTGTTTTGTAGCTGCTCTTACAGATTATACTACTTTGCCAGCAATGGCTGCATTCAGGAGAAATTTCCACTTCGGTAAACATCCTTCAATGGCATCAAATACTGATTTCTAAAACTCCCTTATAGTTTAAAGTACACAACTACAGCCAATTCTACTTGCCCTGAAGCTCCTATAAATTTTACACTGATTACTCAGGTATAAGCATGGAGACAGAGGTAGAGTTGGAGAGAAGGGCCAGAACTTTCTAAACCACTTCAGTTACAGCTTTAAGAGCATGCCTAAGTCTAAGGTACATTAAGTCAAAAGACTTGTGCCCTGACACATCTCCATGGTTACCATTAAAGCTGAAAGCACATCAGTGCAATGTCAAGCAACTCAAGAATATTGGGGGTTCAATCTGGATCTGAACACACATTCTCTTGTAAGCAAAGCAATATTTAAAGACAGTTTTGCTTAAGCAGCCTTGTTTAAAAAAAGTAGTAAATTCTACCAACTATCAAAATGCTCAAAAAGAACTTGGAGGAGTTTTTGCAGCTGGGAAGTATGGATAGCAGACTCCCTTCTGGCTCAGAAGACTATATCTCTTAAGAGAAGCTCAAGGGAGTCAGTTCACTTCCAGATTCAATACTGGGCATGCACTAACACAACAGTCTGAGTCTATGCTAAAACTTGAAACAGCGGTTTGTCAAATCTAGAACACAGAAAATTTGCACGGAAACATGATAAAACTTTATACCTCAGCCAGTCGATCTCCAAGTGCCTTTACCATTATGATATTGTACTCATCATCCTGTCTCCTGAAGTCACTGCATAACTCATCCACACCAAAGCAGGCTACAGCAAAAAGGCCTAAGTAGTCACAAATGCCAGAATCCAGTGGTGCTATGAAGTCAGAGAGACAGTAATATGGATCTGTACAGGCAGAATCTTTTTCAGCCTAAAGTAAAATAAACAAACAAACAAGCCACAACATTAAAAGAATGTATTATTAGTGCATTATTGATCCAAACACCAGGATTATTAAGACTAAAGGGCTTGGAGAATTTCTGAAAAATACCTAACTAGTCTTTGAGCCACAACAACTTTCCTCCCCTTGAATTAGATGAAAAGCACTTCTACTCTTCTGAGGGTGTTTAGATCATTAAAAAACAAGATGTCAAAGGAAGGAGATGCTGTACTGAACAGGCACAGAGAGATGTTCTGGTTCTATTCACAGCTGGTAAGATTTAACAGCTTATTCTGCAGACAAAGTATTACAAAATAGGAAACACTCTTATGCCAACCACTGGGGATGAAGAGGAATTTTCCATCTGTAACACTCAGACTCCACATTTGTCAACAAAATGGACAGTTGATAGTTTGCACCTCAGCTATGCAAACTGCAGATTTCTTCAGCAGCTCCCACTATGGAATGCCTGTGAGAGTCTATAAACACTCCTTGTTTCTTATGCCACAAACCACATGCTCAGTAGCATAGAAAAAAAACAGTACTCCAGGAATTACGTTTGCATGATCCACATACAAACTGAAACAAAACTTGTCTATCACTACTGAAAAGTTGAACCCCAAACAAGGTTCAAGGGGATTTACGCAAAAAACAAAGACCCACTCACTACATCCTTTCCCAAAAATGGAGAAAAGGGAATAAAAACAGGTGACTGAATGCTGGCAACAGCATTTAACAAGAAGCTGAGGATGAAATCAGTATTTATTGTAGGAACATAACTCGTGTTTAAAAAAAAAAAAAAAAGAAAAAGAAAAAGTGGGACAACTCCTGTATATCTGTGCAACTTACAAAGAAATGAAGTTAACTCATGGTTATCACTTTACTGAAGAATCCTCTCCAAGTTTTCTTATTCTGTGGTATTCCAGTGTTTAATGATGCTTTCAACCCAATCCCAAATTTAGTTTGAAAAACATAAAAAACACCATCACCTCTCACAATCAAAGATAAATGCTGTGTAAATTCTATATACTACTAAGTTATAACAAGTACCATAAAACAGAAGAATTTTTGTTTTCCTTCATTCGATCCCTATTTAAATTTAAGGTTCTTTTGTTTTGATCATAGTTACAAGAAAATACTAAACATCTCCTGCTTTTAGATTTCCATCTCATGCTTAATGATGACAACATCATAGAGAGAACTCTGTGTACTGAGAGGAAGACTGTATATACAAAACAGAAGACAATTATTCCTTTTTATTTTACTCTGGTGAAGCCTCTGCTGGATCACTACATACACTAGATTGAAATACGTTCAGCTAAAATGGGTGAGATTCCAGAATAATGGTACCCACAATACTGTAGTTTCATGCTCCTAACCTCTCAGACATCCTCAATAAATTGCAAACACATGAGACAAAAAGAACAGGAAAAGAAAATGTAGTAAACTTGATTTGGCTATCAAAATGTTTAACTAGGTAGTTAGGCCCTGGAACAGCATCCCCTGAATGTTTCTGAGAACAGTTTACATAAACGTCTGCCAAGGACTTGAAGATACACTAAGATCAGCCTCCATGCAATAGATTACCTGTTCCAGGAGTTGGTAGACAAACTTTAAGCTATGTACTTCTCAGTGCAATTTTGCAATACTGGCACAGAGTAAGAATAATGTATTTCAGAAATTCAAGTTATTTGTAAGATTTGTTTCTGCCATATTTGATGACAAAATATATGAACTATCAAGAAGCCAAAGTGAAATGCAGGGAAGGAAGAGAAGCAAAATATCTTGACAAGCTATGAAAATAAATGCAAATGCCAGTATGATTCGAGCATAAATACTTAAAATAATGATTCTCACAACTGGAATTAGCAGCAAACTGATTATAAACTGTCTCTTAATATAAGAAATTTTATATAGAAAAATTAAGATTATCAGAAACATTCATCTTCACTGAGCTTTAGTTTCCAGATATTAATTAAAAATATTTTTCATCTTTAACATACCCAAACAGAAATTTAAGGTAGAATCCAGGGATATTATTAGGTTCTAACTTAGCACATAAGAGTGACATGAGGAATATATTCAGCACAGTGCTTTAGAATGGTTTAAATAATAAAAGGAAGACAAAACAGAGATTTGAAGCTGCCAAGTCTATGAAGCATTCTGTACAACTATTACAATGCAAATTACTACAAATGCTACAATTAGAAATACTTGGGTCATTATTAGCAAGATCTTGTTATTACTGAAAGAAATGGCAAGACAAGCACAGACAGATAATGGCAATTATTTACTGCATAGATTTTTATTACAGCATTTCTGCTCTACTCCTACAACTCAGGAAAAAAAAAAAAAAAAAAAAAAAAAAACACTTTATTCTGTTACTTTACCTGTTGCCTCAGGCCACAGAATTTTGCTATTGGTTCTGAAGATCCCACTGCCTCTTCAACAGCATACAAATAGATATCATCTTGAACACTTCGAGCTGGCCAGAACCCAAGCACACCCCTTGCTTGTAATTTCTTTTGATTAATCAATATTTTCAGAAGATTTTGAGCATCGTTAAAAACTTTCTGTGCTTCTTCGCCTATTTAAAAAAAAAAAAAAAAAAAAAAAAAAAAAAAGAGAAAACCTTTTGAAAAGACGAGCATTCACAACCAGTTGAACAAGTCCAAAAACTGCTTAAGACTGATTCATTTTCCACGAAATTCTCTACTGCAGCAATCTGTCAGCCAGAACAAGCAGCGAGCATAGCAGTGTGATAATGTCTGTACAGCTGTAACAGCATGCATTTCAAAACAAATGTTATAGCCATCACCATCCTAATTGGGGCAGAGGACTCAGAATGAAGTGAGCAATACGGAAAGCATGCATGCGTCTACATTACCACAATGCAGTAGAATCCTAAACATTTTCTTCAACTTCATCACGTATTCCAAAGCCTACTGAGTAGTATCAAAAAGAGGAAGAGCCCTCTTGACATCTTTGCCCTTAACAGGGACATGTGCTAATTGCTCTGTTGCCATTTTCTGTCGTTAAAATAGCAGCCCATGTTTTAGCAGTGAATTCTAAATGAATAAGCACCTTCCTGCCTCAAGTGTCAACATCAGTAAATGTTGTTTTACACAAATTACTTCAGTTAACATTTAAGTGCCAATGAATCATAGAATAGCTTGGGTTGGAAAAGGACCTCAAGGTTCATCAAGCTCCAGTCCTCCTGCCGTTGGCAAGGTCACTGGCCTCCAGAATGCAATTTATCATTTCTGTCTATTTCAAAATATTCACAATCTGAATGCTGCATGCACACAAAGTAAATGCAATTTCATTACTTACCTACTGTTTTATCATTAAATACTTTAGGAAAACTCCGGTTGGGATATTTTCCTCTAAGTTGCCAAACGTCAAAGAAAGGCTTCCAGTCAATGTACTCTACTAGCCTCTTCAGGTCATAATCTTCAAAGACTTTTGTACCAATGAATTTTGGTTTCACTGTGGGAATTAGAAGTACAATCTGACATGAAGACAATTATTTAATATTGCTCTAATATGCGCAGCATAATTGATGCTTCCCAGCCTGCACCACTGCAAATGAACTCTTCTAAAGTAATTTCAAATTCTCACTGCCGCATCCTGCCCAAGTTATACCATACTCTGGGTTTAAAAAAATAATTAATACAAAATCATAAAAAGTCAAAATAGAAAATGTAAAGTCTTCTGTAATTTCCTGTAAATCAATTCTTACTTGATGTTTGAATTCTTTACTTATTTCATGGGATAAAATATTCAACTTAAGACCAAAATCGACCTATCCATACCCAAAAGATTTCACAGGCCTGCATCACATGTAATTACAAATGCCACTTTCTATATACAGACATAATGAGCTATGGTACTGTAAAATAGTTCTGACAATTAATATGAATCTTGTAAGAGTTTTTGCTACCATCACACACTGTTGTGTGTATGCATCAGAAGTGAAAGAGAGATACGGACCTTTGATATGATGCAGCCACAAGCTTTGTACTTGTTTAATCTCTGCTGTTCACTACTTTATAACACAGCTTTTATTAATATGAGCAAGTGAAAAATCAGCATTTCCTTGAGACTCTATTTTATCCTTCAGATTCTATTCCCCATCCCACTGGGGTGGTAGTGAATGAGCAGCTTTGTGGAGCTCTGTTGCCTAACAGGAGCTAACTTGCACAGTCTTGTAAATGAAGTGACAAAGCAGTCACCTGTTAATGCCACTACAGGAGGCACCTTCTTGTGGAAGGTTGTTTATACTTCTGGTGTTTGGTATTAACACAACAAAAAATGGTACAGAGACAGGTAGAAAAAATATCTACCTCTTTCTCCATTAAATTGTAAGGAAGAATTTGAGAAAATGGTGTGTCACAACTACTGTTGCCTAAAAGCAGTACATAAGCTTTGCAGTATGAACAAGTTCAATATTATTTTGGAAAGGCTGCATTACTCTGATTTTTTATTATATGGGCATTATGGGTGACTCTGGTTTAGATTTTTTTTCCCCAATTTCTTATTAATTTTTGTTTTGAGATGTTTTGCTTTTTTTTTTTCTTTTAATTACTGTGAAAAATTATGAAGTTGAAACAGATCAGCAAGATGGAACTTAAGCAATAAAAAAAAGTCTGCTCATACAGACCTGAGTTTACTCAAGTTGTTACCCTATTTCTAACACAATGCTACTACATCTTAAAGTTTAATGAAGCATCATCCAATTAATTAAACCAACAGATAAAATGAAACAAAGACACAACAAAATCACCACCTCTACAACCAACAACATATAAACTGACCAGGTTTGTGGTCTGACAACCAGTCAGTATGGAAACCTTTTCTTCTAGCTTGCTGTAGAGACAAGTATCTTCTTTCCTGTACGGACACAAAGGTTACTCTTATGAAAACACACATCTTTCTAACAAACTCTAACCATCGCAGTGGTCATACAATTCTAGTCAAAACCTCTTACAGGACAATTCTGGAGAAAAAAAAAAAAAAAAAAAAAAATTCAATTCCAAAAACTTCTAACTGAATTCACTACAATATTCTCTTTAAATGACAGCCCTGCACTTGGTCATCTCAGGCTGTGGACTGATCTTAAAAAGGATAGTCTTAAACTTGGCTGGATTCATCTTCTGAGTAGGAGGCCTCAACCTTTATCTATGTCTATCAAAAGACCATTCAAGAGTCAGATCACTTTCAGTTTGCTTCTGCTTTTCTCTACAAAAATGATAGAAAAGCCAAACAGATAAACAAAGTCTATATACACTCTGCCACTCCGCACCTTTTATTTCTCTCTGCTTTCCTTTCACTCTCCTAAAATTGCAGTACAAGTTCTCTACTTTGAAGCTGTTCAGATCCCTAACCAAGACAACACAAAGACAATAGGAAAATGCGGTAGCGTGAAGTACACAACAGAACACAGCACAGGATCAGCAAAAACAACTGGTGTCATTTTAGTTACCTCAGTGCATTTCCCTGTTTTCAGCTACTGCCATGCGAGAGCACTGACTTCCTGAAGACTGGTTAAGCTGACATGACTGCCAGCCTCATAGAGCTATCCTAGGTATCAGTGAGTTTTCATTTCAGACAATCAAGACTTTGCCAGCAGTATGTTAGACTCATGTAGAATTATCCCCTACAGGCTAGAATTTTATTTATTTATTTTGTCAAAATCAGCACAAGTATAAATCAAGGTCTTCATAAAGAGCTGAAACTCAGTGTTAGTAATTATATAAGTACCTACCACTTCAAACAAGAGAAAAACTAGATTATTTACATTTGTACCTTAAGAGACTCATAGTGCTCTTGTCTAATTTCTTCATATTCCTCTAATATTTCTTCAAAAAAATCATCCTTTACGCTTTCATCTAAGAGCTGGGAACACTGCAGAAAGGAAAGAACACACTATGAGAACGCAGTATGAATTTCAGACTAAGCTATCTTTCAGACGTTACTTTCAGTGAACTTTATCCAATTACATCTGACAACACTAACAGAGTTCCATCTTGCTCTCAAAAGACCCAAAGAGGGATACTCTATGACTCTAGAAGCTGAATACTCAAACAACAGGCAGCTACAGGCAGCTACTTCTTTCTCTCTTTTTTTTTTTTTTTTTTTTTTTTTGTTTTTTTTTTTTTGCTAAGACAACCTATTTGTCTAACAGAATGAGCTCCTATTCCAAAAATCTTCACTCAGCCACTTCATAGTACTGTTTTCCTGTTGCCATATCTCTAATGTCACAAATATACTCAAAAGAGAGAACAGCAGATCACACATAATCACATCACTCCTCATTTTTAAACATCTCAGAACTACAGTCAAGGATTCAGAGTGAGTCATGTCACCACCGTTAGATAATTAGACAAACTGACATGTAAATATAGGTATCCAATGACAGTAAGTCAAATTAGCTCAATGAGAAAACTAAGTGGCTATAAAAAAAACTGTTGAAGCAACACTAGTTTAGGAAGTGGTCTCTGTAGTATCTCTTCCATTTTTTGTGATAATATTAAATCTTAGACAAATAGATGAGATGCATAAGAAAGAAAAGCAGGGCATATATATTTGCATAAATGAGAAATTATAGTTAGAACTTACAACCACAACACTCTTGGATGCATCCAGGACATGAATTACAGGTGCACTATAGCGGGGGGCAATTTTAACAGCTGTGTGTGTTCTTAAATGAAAAAGAAAGTGAGCATTTCAGAACTGAAACAAACAAAGCAGGAAAACAAACAATAGTCCCTGCAAAATACAAAGTACATCCCGACAGTGCACAGACCAGAATTTCAAAACAAGAAACCACTGATGAGTAGCAGATTTTTAATAATAGCTACATAAAAATTTTACTTCAAAGAATATCAGAATGCTTTGTAAGTAATGAGACAGCTTATATTTCCTCAGTGTCTTATCAGCTGACTGAAAGTCAGCAATTTGTTAGTTTAATTCTCAGAAATTTCAGGTTTAGTTTGGAACTCTTACAGCTTTCCCTCCCATATGTTAACTTCTGGGTGTGTGGATTAATATTAACGTATTCCGGTGATGATTATTTCAATTTCTATAATGCTCTACTTCAGAGGCAGAAGCTTTCCATTTACCTGAAAAAGGAATTCTGCCAATGGCAATAAAACAGAACAGACCTGCATCTGCTGTGTCAGCCCAGTCACTAAATTAAGAACTCCCAATTTCTTTAATACATACTCTATTCCAATCAAACACAAGCAGCAGGCCTAACCTCACTTTTCTTCGGGTTCTATCAAAAAGTAAAAACACTTGAACATAAGGTTAATGATGACTGTGCAACAGTTCAGTAACCAGTTGTCTAAGAACACCTTAATTTGATTCTAGGTGATGCATGTTGATATTAGCAGCTCAGTTTATTAGAAAGATACTTTATCATCCATTTTGATAGAAACAGACAAAGTAAACAAACAGAGCATAACCCTACAGTGGCACTGTATCATCAGGTACAGGTATTTTTTTAAACAAACATTACCACAATAAAATCATCACCATTAATTGTCAACATCTGAATTTCACAAAGCAGCACAGCAAATAACACAAACGTTGCTGCAAGCTGAAGTGAAATTTCATTATGTAGATTCTGTAGTCAGAATCTAGTCTCTCTCTTTCAAACTAACCTCATTTTCTGCCTTTCCAAGTACACATGGTCTACCCATTACAAATCATGATGTCTACCTATTTCAGAGAATAAACGCAGACAGTTCTTCATTAGCAAGCTCTAACGTATACATAACTTTTCAGAGTACATGAGGTTAAACTTAAAGCTGTGCAAGTGAAATTAAATGCATACTACTAATCTAATTTTCCATAAAGCATACCTTCATCTGACACATTTTAAATAAACTGTGTCTGGTCATATGCACAATTATATTTATATAGAGTTCATGTGAGTACAATTGCTTACGAATACAAAGCATATTTTATATATTATTCAATTTTTACTACATTTAAGGACAAAATTTATGCTGCCCATCTGCATTCATCTCTACCTATAAATTTTAGAGATCCATTTGATGCTGCTTGTTTTAAATCAATTATTATGCCACAGTGCTCTACAGACACTAAAAAGACCAAAAAAAAACTCTCTAAGGCTCTTTATTTAGAAATGCCCTACCCATTTTTTTGTTTGTTTGTTTGTTTAGGAATAAACTCCTTGTTTGTTCTCAGTACAGAAGTCATAGCTAAAGAGACTTGTGAAAAAGAAGAAAAAGAATGTAATGAACCATGCATTATAACCATAGGACCAATAAAGATGGGTAGTGATCCTGCTATTTCCTGTTTGCTAAGGCCAATAATACAAAATACATGTAGCTAATGGTTCTGACGGACTATGTGCTGCTCTGCTAAAGGAAGTAATACTGCTGACAGCTTTTATTTATGCAAGAAATGACCTCTGCAACCTTCTTAGCTGTCACCTACTGAAGGATACTGTACATAAACTACTTAGCTAAGTATGACAAGGCCACTACGCAATGCCCAAAACACATCTGCAGTAATGCTCATACTAGATGTCAGCAAGCTGTCAACACTTTACTTCAGGATATCATAGCAGCTGCATTATTTCATTTGAATGGATCAGAAAGAACAAGGTATCAACAAAAAAAGAAAGTTCAGCCTAACAAAGACAAAATGGTAACTACTTAAAGGCAAGCTGTTAGAATGTATCATCTATCACCCTGCTTGAACAGGTTTGGAGGTTCGACCCAATCAGCACAGTGCTGAACAATGATGCCAGAAACTTCCTGAAAGATAATAGCACCCTGATGTCTGTGTGACCATCCCTAGTCTCAAAATCATTCACACTGGGGAATCAACTTTTTACAAGAGTAGACAGTAAGAAGACAAGGGGGAATGGTTTTAAGCTCAAGGAGGGGAAGTTTAGATTGGATGTCAGGGGGAAATTCTTCACAGAGAGAGTGGTGAGATCCTGCAACAGGCTGTCCAGAGAGGTTGTGGACACCCCATTCCTGGAAGTGATCAAGATCAGATTGGATGGGGCCATGGGCAGCCTGGTCTTGTACCAGATCTGGAGGTTGATGGCCCTGGCTGTTCCATGCAGGTTGGAACTTGATTATCCTGGGGACCCCTTTCAACCCAAGCCATTCTATGATTTTGTGATATTCCGATTCCCATTCTACCCTTTAGAATAACATAACTGTATCCATATGAATACACATTTTAATTTTTAGAAGTTACCACAATAGTATTTCCACATACAAAATACATTTGCAAAAACAAAAAGTTGTCTGCTATTTGTTCTATTCCAAATACATCGTAGTACTGTATTCCAGCACTTGATAAAAGAAATAATAGTCTTAAGTAAATAAATATCAAGCATGTGCGTCTGGAAAAAATAAGGAAAAAGGGAGAGAGAAATGGCTACAGAGATTTTCCCCTGGTTGACACTACTATCACACACATTCCCCAACTTCCCAAAGGAGATATCTTACTTAGAAGTAGTTGCTCCTCCAATTAGCAAAGGAATCTTTATTGCCAATCTCTCCATTTCTTTGGCGACAAATATCATTTCATCCAAAGATGGGGTGATGAGACCAGACAGACCAATAATATCTATTTAAAATTTACAAACACATACGTATAAAAGGTTTAGGAAATCCTGTAAAAATTTATGCATCATTTTAGAATGGAAGTCTTTAATTCCTAGCTTCATGCATCAGATAGAAAACACTGAGATAGAAACCATGGTAATGTCTTCTACATTAGACAGGTTTACCTAAATCAGAAAGCTTTCCAAGAATGAAAGTGATTCTGAATCCTCAGTTTAAGAGATTTCTCAGTCTTCACAGCTGCTGAATACCCACTGCTCCAGCTTCACAATAAACATACAATACTTCTGATTAGCAAACTTCAAGCCTCAGAGCCTGAGTACTCTGCTCTTAGAAACAGCAAATGCCTTCCAATTTCACCACCTGTGTTCCATGCAAATCAACTTTTACAAGACTGTTTCACAACTGCAACTCAGTTCAGAAAACTCAATTTTTTTCCTAGAATAATTCATTCTATTCCTTTGCTTTGGGAAGGCCAAATTCTTATACTGATTTAAAACCCAACATAAAGTTAGTCAGCCTTTCCAAATTTCCATTTATCCATGTGTAAAACAAATACTAAACAACAAATACTAAAGCATCTCTACATTTGTGTAAAACAAATACTAAACAACAAATACTAAAGCATCTCTACAAGTAGAGTTGTCTTTTTAATGCAGGTTTTCAGTTCCTTGGGCTAAGTTTCATGGAAGAGCCAAATACTAAATAGTTATTACTGTTAACGGAAAAGTTTTGATTTACCTGAAGGTAGTCTGATAAAATAATAGACAGCACAGAAATGCAATGAGCAGGAAAAAAAAAAAACAACAACAAAAAACCTGAAAAAAGCAGAGAGCAAGGTTTGAAATTAAATAATTCAGGAGTACTAATGAAATCTCTCTATACCTGCTTTGTTCTCAACAGCAGCTCTCAATATCTTATCACATGGAGTCATGACTCCTAAATCAATAACTCTGTGAAAAGAAGTGAGATGACAAGATTCTTTTAAAGAGTTCTGTTAAAGGGCAAACACATTGCTCTTACTGCGAACAGCTTATTGGAGTTAAAATGAAGATTAATTTTTGTTTGTTTCTCTCCACACAACTGCTGGGAGTTCTAATATAGAAACACCTATGAATCTGGAAAAAAATTCAATATACTAAAGTTACTAATGACAGAAGACAGAAACATTGTGGGGTTTTTTGGTGATTAATTTTTTTTTATTTGAGGTCATTCAGGCAGTACTAAGCATTTTCGTGGTATCACACCTTATGTCAGGAATATAAACTGACTTACTTTGTTGTTGCTTTTTTGTCATGCATTTTACGAAGTGAGACACTGCTGTTTGTTTGCTAGCACTCTATTCCTACTAGCCCAAGCCATTGTCAAAGTTTCTACCTATTTCCCACTCCCCTGCTTCAAGTGAGCCACACAAGCCCACTGGCTTCATTCAGTCTCACTCATATTCACGATGACAGAAAACACCACTCCTTTAAGTTTAAAAAATAATTAAAAAAAATTAACAAGTTTCATTTTTTGAAGCTCAGAATTAAAATCTCATCTCCTATGTAGCAAGATATACCACAGTTAGTTTTTAAAACCTTGTAGTTGACAAACAACTTGAAAACCATACCAAGATTTCCTTTTATCCCAGCACACCACAAGACACACAAGCAGTCTCACCTACTGGAATTGTCCTACCTGGTTTCCTCAGATAATACACTTCTATGTTTAAGGCTTTATACATACATTTAAATAATATTACATGCAACACTTAATTCTCCCACTTACTTTTCAGTTTGATATTAAACTGTATTCATCTCGGATGGCAATTTTTTAGGAAAAAGGAATTACAGAAAGATGCCCTCTTGCCTCCAGATTTGTAGTAACTGGTACAATCTATGTTCCCTGTCACAGCTATGGGAAGGAAGAATAGTTCCTACTATATGCCCATCTCTAACTATTATCTCCACAGCCTCAGTAGGCCTAGTATACTAATTATTTAGCTTTTTACAGTTATGCTACCAACTACACAGTTTTAGTCTCTTTACCTGAAGTTGTTGCAGCCCAGAACAACTCCCACAATGTTCTTGCCAATATCATGTACATCACCTTTCACAGTTGCTAGTACTATTGTACCATTATAAGGATCCTGAAAGTTGAACAAATGGCACAAGAATTCAGTTACTCATAAGCTTCAGTATTCTCTTATCAGCAGAAGTGATATAATCAACATTAACAACTCCTTCATAAGATGCAGGTAATAAAAACTTGCACAAGACACGTTCATGCAAATTGACTGCATGTTTTTCAAAACTGTTAAGAAAAATAACACAACGCCACTCACAAGAAAATCAGACTTGAATAGCATTCTGTGTAGTGCAATAACTGGAATCCTATAAAGTACTTCTGTTTCAAGTGAAAAACTCACCAATAAATATTTTAAATATTTAAAATAATAGGTTATGCAAGTTCATGATCATACATCTGCTCATGCATCAAGGGCAATCTTTCTCCAATGCAATGGTGAGCAGAATGAAAGAAATTCCATGAGAGGAATCAGGAAAAGCAGAAAAGACTCCTGAGCAAGGAGGTCCTCAAGTTCTGGGCACATACCCAAAATGCTTCTTTTTTAAAACTTGATAGAGATCCACAGCCACAGCTATTTATCCTCAAATGTAGCTATCAACTCTTTATGCAACATAAGCAGCAAGAGACATTTCAGTGCAGTGATCAGGCTACTTCAAACTGCCCAGTTCGAACGAACACTTTGGAAAAAGAATCTCCTTGAAGAAGGGAATGTGCACTGTCAGACTGAACCTAAGTAAGGTGGCACTCAGCCCTGACAAAGGGTCCTGCCAGAAGGGTAGTAGTGGAATTCCTCTACAATCCTCCAGTAAGACATGAGTCTTTGTGATACATTTTTAGAGGTCTAATTCATATTGTCGTTTGGAGCAGCTCCAGCCATGTTTGCATTGATGCAGGATGAAATGCCAGTAGCAGACTACCTGATTTGCACAGAATTTAAATCAAGTGGAAACCTGAGCACGTTGAATTTGAAAATACCTACCAGCCCAGACAGAACATCACCTCCTTTGCAGAGGGCCAAAGCATATTCAATTCATTGACATTATAAATTAGTTTCATTTTCTGGGGGTTGGGTGGCTTTATATAGAGATAATAGCATTTACAATTTCCCATGGTCCTAACACAATTAGTTGGGACACTGCGAATCCTTATCAATGCTGCTGCTTACTAAAAATCTACCATCTCCTCAGTGCTCCCATTTTACAGAAGAACACAGAACTACAAATGCAAAATGAAGGCAAGTCAGCCATCTCTATACAAAAATGCAAATTTTGCAGCTGAAAATAAGTTGCTGGAATGTAAGAGAAAGGTTGGGAAATAAATTAACCAAACATTGGGAGATCAAAAAATGTTGCTCCCAGGAACTGCTGATGATTTAACTAGTGACTGATACGCAAGTAAAAACATTTTGCCTATGAGAAGAATGAATACGTGAGCTGAGCAACAAACAACCTGGGCCAGAGCACACAGTATTTCAGCACTTTGAATAAACCCTACTTAGGGCACACTGTGGTTTCAACTGTCTCAAACAAGGAGGTCCTCAAGTTCTGGGCACATATCCAGAATGCTTCTTTTTTAAATCTTGATAGAGATCCTCAGCCACAGCTATTTATCCTCAAATGTAGCTATCAACACAATGCATTTCCCGGCAGTGTGAGACTAAAACCATCCTGGAGGTTACAGTAACCTGGGTAACATTAGACAGATCAGCTACCAGAGCCTGTAACTCATTTTTGTCCCAGTCCAAATCTAAATTTGGGGATAAATGCAGCTGGCTTTTCTCTCTCCAGTGACAAAAATACTCACAAAGATTAAACCCTTGCCCAGCAGAACGTGGAAGAAGCAAAACGACAGGGGCTCTACATTTTCCCTTCTGTTCCCCCTCAAGCACATACAGTGACTCACAATCTTTTGTGGTATTTTTAAAGGACTTTCTAGATTCCACTTATCACATTTTAGTCAGAGAATTAAGTGCCAGTACTAGTCCAGTGCTCAGGGAGGCAATACAGTAACAAATTTCACCAATTTCAAATAGCACCAGAACAAACCAGAAGGTACCAAATACCAGCATTGTTATCTGCATTAAATTAAGAAACAGCAGAAGCAGGAAAAAGATGACAAACAGAAAGGTGACTCATGACAAGAGAACAGATCTGCTTGAGACATTAGAGAGAAGACACTGTCTTTACATGCAGAAAAGACTATGGTTCCATTGAGATTAGTGGGATTTGATTTTCAGGTTGTTTTTCTTTCTAAAATATTAGTTGGACTCTTTAGACTTATCACTCAACAGCAAATGGAAAGATATACAGTAAGAACATTTGAGGGGAGGAATTAGAAACCACTCAAAAATCCAGAGAAAAAAAGCCAAAGAAAACACACAAATATCACCTTTTCTCTAGACTCAGGCCATTCTTCTTTCTTATTTGTGTCAAACACCAGATTATGATAAAAACTATTGCCTCTAAGAACGCACGAAGACAATGTAATGTTCCACAGGACAAAAGAAAAGTTTCTGCACAACATATAAATTTGACAGTCAAAGGCAGGAGTAGAAGAAAAATATTTAATCAATAAAACTGCACCTATAATTAAAGTATAGTAGACATGAGTATTATAAGACTTTGTCTATTTCTTCTGAACTTTTCTACTGCACAGAATCTTGCTAGTACCGAGAAAGAACAGATGTCCTATGTCCTCATTTTCCAGTGCTCCCATAACACATTCCATTAACCATATTTGAAAGAAGGTACTTGTAGCATATGCTCAGATAATTAATAAAACTTTTCTCAGAGAGTAATCATCAGTTGTTACCTGTCAAATAGGAAGATGCTATAAAGGAAAGGCCTACAAGAATCAGAAAATAATTTGGTAACCTACATTACCAAAGTTACCAAAATAACTAAGATGATAGATCAAATGCAAGAACAACATTAGGGGAGGGAGGGAGGACGTGAAAGGACAGGAGTAGGATTCAGGATCAACTTGATACACTGAATAAGCTTTCTAAAAATCAATAAGATAAAATTCAGTAACAGTACTACAAACATGACACATAGGGTTAAAATAAAAAAGGATAGAAAGAAAATCTAAAACAGACAACAGCTTGCAAAAAATTTAAACATGATACATGTTAGAGGGCAAAATTGGTATTAAAGTCAATACAAGACTACAAAGCCCACTGCCAGATATTTTGTTTGGCACTTGCAAAGCCTCAGGCAAACACAGAGCTGATTGGGTGTCCTACTACAGCCTCTCCACATCATAAGTCACATAAGAATAAAAGCTCTTAACTTCTACAGGCAATATACTGTAATGCTTTAGCATCACTAGGGCATTTCGCTCCCTCCACAGACTAACTTAAATATCTTTCCCCTGAAATTTAAGATTCACTTACTCTTGGTAGGACACAGAAACTTTATTTCTTTAGTCCCTACAAGTATGTCTAACATATCAAGATTGCACGGTATTTTGTTACCTTCAGACTTCATACACAGGTCAATGCCTCCAAACTTTCACTGAAGGTTTCACTGTCTGCATTTCTGAATTGTTCTTATTGGTCTCTTTTGAAATGCTTTTACTGGTTAACATATTTTCCTTGAGTACCACCTTGAAAACTTGACGCTGTCCTTGTCCTATCAATGAGCTGAGTAGAGCAGAAAATTCTGTACATTTTACTTTGTTAGGTTTTTTCGTTTGTTTGTTTCCCAGTCATATGAAAATGCTGATTTATCTGCTATTTGTAACAACCACAATCCTTTCTCTGGGAACTCACTACCTACTCAGTTACTACCTATCTTTTGTTTGTGTCAGTTGAGTATTTCTGCTTCTATATTATTACTTTGTATATTTGCTGTATTACATTACAAATAGCCTTCAGAAAGCAGGAGCAATGATCACATGAAAAGACAACTAACTTTTCATACAGCACTTGTCACCCACAGCTTGGTCATAGCAATGCATACAGTGAGTATACTATTCTATCATAACAAAAGGTCTTGTGTCATATCTTAAAAATAAAAAAAAAAAAAAAAAGCAGTTTGGTTAGTTTACCTGAGAGAATGGTCAGAGGAAAGTTCTGAGTAAAAGGAATGGGCATGAGCAGTAAAAGCCATTGGAAAAATTTGCCACAATCAATGCTAAAAATACATGATATAAATAATACTAGAATTAAATGTCTACACAAATGCAAAAAGAAACAACAGAATTAAGGGCCTATAAAAGCTCGTGGCATCCTCCAATACGCTCTGACAACAGGTTAGGCAAGTACTAAGTAGAGCTTCAGAAAATCTGCACCTCGTGAACTTCAGACCAACTTCAAATTAAGCCAAGATTGTCAGTTTTTATATGGTTGGATCAACTCTACAGCATAAAAACAAAGGTTAACAAAAAATAATTTCAGTTTTTGACACTGCATACTACAAAAGAGTTACTAAACAAAGGACTGTGTCTTGCCTCTTCCTCTGAGCTGCCTTGTTTGGCTCTCCTTTCTTCTCTTTCTTTTTCCATGTAAGGAATAAGGTGGCTAACTGCTTTCTTCATAACTCGAGCAGACTTTATCACCTGCACAAATAAACGGAAGAAAAAAAAAAAAAAAAAAGAGGGAGAAAAATCAATAGCAAAGATAAAATACAGGAATACCCTAAAATCCATTCAGACAACAAAACTTTTTTGCAAACCTAGATTCCATCTTGGAAGAGCACTGTTTGGTAATAGGCTGCTAGCTGTGAAATCTCTTTGATCGCTCACAACAGAATGAGAAGCTACAAACAAGTCCAGATTTAGGTACTAAGCGTGGCAGCCTGCTTGTAATCAAACGATATTTTACTTGGATCTTTTTTCCCCTTTTGCTCTTTATCATGGGCCCAGATTTAAGACTACACTTTAAGTAAAGCAAAAAGCCTCAGAGAGAAAGGGAAGAAAAATGCAAAGCTATATATATATTAAAAAAAAAAAAAAAAAAAAAAAAAAAAAAAATCCAAAATACAACAAAAAAAAAAACAAATAGTGGCATCTTCATTTTTACAATTCAAGTGCTATGTCTGAAAAAAGAAACAGCATAGAATGTTTAGTTTTTGCCAAATTTGAAAACACATTAAATAATATTCTCCTTACCTGAGGCAGAAACATCTTCCCAGCACCAAAAAGATCACCAACAATTTTCATGCCATTCATCAAAGGCCCTTCAATTACATTTAGAGGTCTAGGGTATTTTTCCTGATTTAATCTTGCTTCTTCTGTATCTGCAGTGACATACTTCTCTATGCCCTGAGTAAGAAAAAGAAAAGCTTTTATCATTCTAAAATAAAAAACCAAACTTATATTTAGCTGCCATCATACAAAGAAAAAAAAACAACAACCACCACAAAACCCAAAACAAAACAAAAATACCCCACAGTGAACACACAAAAAAATAACCTTAGGTATTTCTAGACTTTAAGAGCAACTCAAATGTGTAATTATAGTAAGTTTCCTTACCAAGCAAAAGACTATAGTTCTGGGGAACAAGTTATTCCAAGTAATCATATCCAGTATTAGTGGGTTTATTTTTCTAAATCATATCATAACAGAACCACACATTTACATGAAAAGCTCCCTCAGCACAAGTGCAACTCAGTGCAGTTTTGTTGAACCACACACACAAAAAAACCTCTACTAGAAACAAACAACAACTAAACAAACAACTAAAAAAAAAAACCAACACCAAACCACCCAAAGCATGTTCTAACACCAGCCAGAATAAGACTTTAAAAGTCATGGACATCCAGTTCTGAAGTTTAAAGAAAAATCACAGTAGTTCTTTGTTCATTACTTTATTTAATTGGTATTTATTCTTAATAATTTTTAAAACAGCAGCAGCTGGGAAGTTTTTAAGACAAGAGTAGTCCTTATAGAATAGGAGCTGAAATTATACATCTCCAAAAGCCATGGACCATTCGCTTGGGTAGGACAACCTTCTGCACATACTCACTTTTACAAGAGCATATTCCAGCCTTTCCTCCGCAGTGCTGTTCCGCCATTCATCAGTTTGTATCACTTTTTTTCCTCCTTGGGCATGATTCTGAACAGAAAAAAAGACTTCCACAGGAGCTTATCAGCACAAAAACTACATTTATGGATTTCACTTTTAAAGAAATAGAGATAACTAAGCACTGACCCACAAAATAATTTCAGATTATTCTAAAATGTTTCTTGTTCATATATACATGCAAACCACACTGCAAACACACATGATGTATTGCAAACACTTCGTAGGTTTATATCCCAGAGAGTACTGACCTCAGCAAAGATGTAAACAAAGTGGAAGTGAAGGTGTGGAAAGGGAAGAGTTCTAATAACTTTCACACTCCTAAAAAATGATGGAATTGTTAATCCTTTGGGTTTTAATTCTGGGAATGTAATTTACATTGATTTCTGACCCACACATGACACTTCATGTTAAAATCCTAATTAATTTGGCACAATTCAGTTACTGCTGCAATAGGTTATGTTACTCCATATCACAGATACATTTTTCAATCTGAAGATCTACAGAACTACTGTTTGTCATCCACATATAAAGGTGGGCTCCAATCCTCACATACTCTTTGCCTCATAATCCGGTGGCTTATAAACTGGAAATTTTCAAGTGATTAATTCATGTCTTTTACTAACACTACCATGACAGGATCTCAAAATTACCTAACAGCTGATCCTCACTGACATGAGTAACTTGAACTGGAAGCCAGGATATTGACCTTTTACATATACTCCAAGCAAGCTATCACCACTAGTGAGATAGGTTTACTCTCTGCCTCTCACAGCATGCTTTCCAATTATGCTCCAGCTCCACAATTTGATTTGGCTGTGGGTTGGCCATTCCCAATTTTATTTTCTTGGATCTTTTATGGCAACTGTGAAATCTGATGGGCTCAATGTGTTACAGAGTTTACATTTTATTCTATACTAATAACGCAACTACTTGTAGCATCAGCAGGAACTTCTAATACTCACCTTTGGATTGACAGACATGTATTTCAGAGGCTCATTTAGCTATTGCCAGCATTAAAGCCCAGGTGTTAAGCTAACAGCTATCCAAAATTTAAAATTTGAAGTTACCTGAGCATAATGTAGAAGCTTCTCTGTCGCATCGGGATCTTTGTTCCAGATTAGATTCTCACATAGCTGTAGCAATTCCTTGTGGATGTCATCATACACCGGCAGATTCCCAGCATTCACAATTCCCATATCCATGCCACACTAAAAAAAAACAAAACAAAACAAACAAAAAAACCCACCATCATACAGGAATTCCCCCCAAACAGAGCTGTCAGATGCAGCATTGCATTTGCCAAGCACAAACATATGGAAGCCAACACATATCATACCCGAATTGCATGGTATAGGAACACCCCATGCATTGCTTCTCGAATGGCATCCATTCCTCGAAAGGAGAAAGACAGATTGGAAAGACCCCCACTTATTCTGACACCTGGCAGTGTTTCCTGTGGGAATTGCACACAGTGTTTTAGAAAAAGGCTTTCCAAAAAAGAAACTTAAGCACAGCATTCAGTCATAAAAGAGCCGGGCACCTCAGTGATGATGCACTGGCTATGCACCCTCTTCCCTGTTCCAGATCCTTCTAATTATTCGAAGTCACAGAAAGCAGTTAAAATATCTGTAGGAAAAGCTACAAACAAAAAGGAAAGATCTACTCCAGCTACATGTAAATAACTGCCATCATTCTCACTGGTACTATTCTAAATACTCAGGTTGTCCCTCAGCAGCATTCCAGATGTCCCCCTTGCCGAACTACTGTGGCTCTCCCATTCCCCTGACAGGCCTCTCCTCTTGAAACAGGAGGGGTGACAAAATATCCTATGAATGTGTTCAAACCCTAGACTGCTACTGACAGAGCATCTCCAGACTGATCTAGTTGGCTGCATAGCTGTATTCAGGTGATTTTCTTCATTATTGTTCTTTCTTACACAAATTTTAGCTAAATAAAATGTCAGGTAATGGCACAAAACTGCACCAGTAACTGAAATTACGTTAAAAGGACAACCTTTGCAAGCCTTCAAAGAAAACCTTTGGCTAGAACAATGAATGCAATTATTACTTCCTTTAATTAATATAGTATATTTACATTAAAGTTAGCAGATTGAAAAATATTAATCAAAGTACTTAAAACTGTTCTGGAAATACAGCAATACTGGGAACTGGCTCCACTCCAGGTGAATAGTCCCCTTGGTACTTTAAAATGGCTGTTATTTGCAGTGATGATTTTTGTTGGTGGTGCTGGTAGTCTTTGTTTGCTTTCCTTTTAAATAACCCCAATAAAATACTTTGAGTTAAAATAAGCTTAAAACTCACTTTTATGGTTTTAGTAGCATTGATAAAATTAATGGCATATAGGTTATGTTCTTCCATTCCAGTCCCTATGGTCAAAATATTAGGGTCAAATATTATATCATTTGGATTGAAGTTTACTTTTTCCACAAGGAGGTGGTATGCTCTGGAGCAGATTGCAATCTTGGTTTCTGTTTCTGTTGCCTGGTGAAGAAAAAGAATTCTGATGTGAAAGTTACACACAGCACAAAATATAAAGCCTGCCAGAAATCATTTACAATTAAACTGGCTAAAGAATACAGAATCCCAGTCTCAATATCATAAGCATTAGAAAACAAATACAAGATTTTAATTTTTTTTTTTTTAACTAAAGACATCACTAACACCCCGCCTTCATTAGAGCTTTGATTGAACTTACTGAAAATAATTTTACTCCTATTTCACCATCTGATGTGAAGTTTAATACGTGTTTTTTAAAATGACTAAATGAATCCAGAGATTCCATTCATATTCAAAACTCAGTTTCTGAACTAAAAGAAATATTATCTGAAGGAAGGAAGCATAGTGGAAGAGCAAGAGACATATCTGTGCTAGCAGAACTACCTCTGAAGCAGAATGAAGTTCCTCAAACATGCAATCAGTAAAAGAAACACCTGCTAAGACTACATATAAATCTCTTTATATCACCAGTGCCAATGAAACAAAACAACCTTGTCTTGCAGAGGAGTAAGGAAGACTTACACTCCAGAAAAAAAAAAAAAAAAAAAAAAAAAAAAAAAGCCTTCTGTAACACTCACCTGACCAACTTCATCAAAAGCCATGACAACCACAGCTGCCCCATACAATTTAATTTTCTTTGCTTTCTCTAGAAAGTCTTCTTCACCTTCCTTCAGACTGATGCTGTTTACAATGCATTTTCCTTGGCAGCATTTCAAGCCAGCTTCAATCACTGAAAAATTTGAAGAATCAATGCATAGTGGCACCTATAAAGAACAAAAAGATGAACAATGGGATACATACAAGTTATGAGTTTAGTGTCTCATATCTTGTTTGCTCTATTTGGACATAAAAATGCACACACATTTACCAGCATTTATGAATAACAAATTTTCAGACGGTGTTTGTAGATACCCTGTTTTTAAACACAAAACTCAGAACAAGTTTAACTCAAGAATTTCTATGACAATTTCTTTATACTCATAACTGCTGCAAGAGCAACCTATACTAAGTTGCTCTAACTAATGAAAAAGAACAGCATGAACAGCATATACCTAGCTGAAATTGGATACAGATTGTTAAAATCTCAACTCCCTTCAGACGCCTTCCCTACTAAGATACCTTTCTGCCACTGGGTAACATCAATATCTGAGTGTTAAGCATCTAAACCGGATAATAAATGAAAATTTTCTGAAAGGCAAATTCCAACTCAAAGTGATCTCTACTCTAGTGTGCTTTGGAGTGACTCTATTACAACCTTTGCAATATCAGGTTCTGAAGAAATCAAGTTACAAAATCTAGTCATTGCAGAAGGTCCATCCAGCATCCCATCATCCATATTGATGTCAAGAATCTGGGCTCCCATCTCAACTTGGGATTTGGCTACAGTCAGGGCTTCCTAAAGAAGAGATTTTAAACCAAAAAGCAGTCAGCAGAATACAGCCTACTCATTCTCATCATCACATTTAACTTCTCCAAAATAAATGCACAGATCTACAAATTATCAAAATAAAAAAAATAGGAGTTTATAGGACAGTCCAAAAAATAATAAGGAAGTGACTTATTATATACAGCAGTGTAACAAAAGTTGCTAGCACAGCACAACTGATTACTTTGTTCACAAAAACATGACAACGTAAATTTAATGTGGCATTGATTTTAGACAGCTGGTCATACACGTAATTGAAAGAGCTAAGATTTGCATGGTAACAAGGACTTCTGATTGCACATGATTACAGGAAAACATACTCTGTGATAGTATCGAATAAGGGTCTTCGGCATCACAAGCTATACTCTTTTATAACACAGAGTAGTTTATTTTTGGAGGTTATTTGGCATTTTTTTCCATCTGCAGAATCATCACCAAGCATTGAGAAACTAAAACTTTCCCTTCAGACCAAATATCCAGGACTCTCAGCTCCCTTTCTCTTTTTTTGCCACTATAACAGGCAAGACAAAAAAAGTTTTACAGCTGTTCATGGACCCTGACAACCTGTGTTTGAAGTTTTCCATATTAAATAGGTCAAACCTGCTTCATGACTTCTAAGAGCTTAAGAGTCAGACTTTCTAACAAGCAAACTAAGGCTTTAGCTTTGATTGCAACAAGAGCAAAGCGTACTTCAGGGCAGAATCTCAGCTGCCAAGAAATGTTACTCTACTGCTTGTTTGAATGTAACAGTAACAACTGACACATTTAAAGAATGAGCCCTCTGGTCTTCACATTCCTGCCCTTCCGCTGTTTCAAGATACCAATTACTGTCTAAACATCTTTTTCTGTAACAGCTCTCATTTAGCATGGTGGATCAAAGTATACACACATCAGATGCAAACAAAATGCTGACCAGATCGGAGATTAGATGGAAATAAAGAGGGCTGCACAGTACTGCAAACTATTCCAAATCAGACACAGGTTGGAAGTAAGAGCGATTTCCTCTCCTCTGCAAATCTGCTCCTAGATACAGCACCGTATATCTGGTCTGCTAAACAATTTAATTCAAAATGTAAAGTCATGTTTACTGTAACACTTGTCAAAGCAAACAAACAAAAAGCTTGTAAGGCTGCTCTTGCACAATTAATTAGGAGCCAGTAAGCTCAGAAGCAAAGGATAGTAAGAAAATTCATTCTCCTTGTTTTCCTACTTTTGTAGAATGGCACTTTTTGCCAGCAAAACAAACTACTAATAACACAATACAAGGGAATAATGAAAAAGCATAAATAAATTGAGAACACCATCTATTAAAATTATTGTTAAAATTTGTACTTCATAGTTGCCTGCCATGATGAGTGCAGCAAACTTCCGTGATCCTGCAACATTGCAGCGTTCGCCAATGTTAACAAAGTTGGTGTATGGCCCAATCCTGAATGGCTCCAGACCTTGAAAAGATATTTTTGAACATATTTGTAAAAATATAAAAGAAAACACTGCACAAAAAACAATAGCATTCATCTATGCCATAAATCAGAAGTTTCCATTACTTTAATAGTGATTTCTCAGCACACCAGGGCATGCACAGGTCTACTGAACAACTGGCAATGAGATACAACAAAGCAACTTCCAGCAAACACCAAATGTTTCTGTTCTTCCTCAATGATTCATCCAATCAACAAGACGCACAAGGACAAGTGGAAATAGTTTCAAACCAGAACAGGGAAGATTTAGATTGGATATAAGGAAGACATTTAATACAATAAGAGTGGTGAGGCACTGGTACCAGTTACCTAGAAATGAGGTTGATGTCCTGTCCTTAGAGACACCCAAAATCAGGCTGGATGGGACTCTGAGCACCCAACCTAGCTGTAGATGACCCTATTCATTGCAGGAGAGTTGGACTAGATGGTCTTTAAAGGTCCCTTCCAACTCACAATTCTATGATAATCTGTCCAAAATAAATGTCACAAAGCAATGATTCTCTGGGCTTCTGCGCATATGCAGATACACACACAACTTGTCTCAGTTTCTTACTACACTATCTCATGATAACATGACCAGAGAAAGAGCCCACTGAACTGGCAGAGAAACAAGGACATCTCTTATCCAAAATCCTAAGTTCAGAATAAACCAGCCAAGGAGGAACTTTGGGTAGCAGGTAACTCAGAGACAAGCAAGCTTTATGGCAGAACAGAGTAGGCTACTAGATGAAATCATGAGCTAATCGTGATTTAATTTATAACAAAGTAATCTACCTATATGGAAGGAACTGTTTAAATTGAAGACTTCAGAGAAAGGCTTATTAACATATAGACTCAGCTTTACCTGAAACGAAAGATGTTCTAGATCTGTGTTACTGCAACGCTATCCCAGTACAAGTGTCCCCACACCCGAGGCAAAAAAGGGCAGCTGCCTCACAGCAGGTGAACATGGATCTCTTCCCAACTCTGTCACCAGCTACAGTCAGATTACCTGATTTCTCTCAGCTTATCTTTAGTTCGCAGTGCAGGAGAGTTAAAGATACTCCCCACTACAAAATATTTGAGATTTTCTGAGTAAAATTTGTTGGCTTGATTATACTATACAATAAATATAAGTTACAATAATGCAATAAGTACGATTTAGATAAACTTGTACATTGTAAGCTTGCTGGATTTGGTTAGAATCAGAAACTCATAGTGCCATTCCGATCAGGAGAAAACAGTTTAATTAATGTATAAAGTAAGGCTGCTTGAGTTATAAAGCCACATCCTATTATACCTGACAGCAGCATATATCCTTGAGAGAGAGAAGGTGGAACACGAGGCTTACATAATTTTACAGCTTCAGCAATTTTCCTGCGTTAGAGAGTGGAAAATAAATAGGAAAGTTTTTGATTAAAATTGAACACTAACCAATACTCAACCATACTATGCTAGACATATAATAGCCTGTAGCACACAAGACTACTCAGCATGTTTCACTTTGTGCAGCTAAAGTCAAAAACATACTATTAGAAGATCCTATTACCACTATATGCAAGGAACCTACAAAAATAAAGATCTATCAAATACAGAATGCAAAATATTATGCCAGTAGGAAAATTTATGCAATACCACACCAGCCCTCACTTCAATCATGCCGACTTTCTGTATTCCTAATTTACCAAAGCCACATAATTGCCGAGGGAAACAAAAAAAACAAGTGGTAAACATTGTTCTTAACTGAGATTTTTTTCTTGGATGCTGGAATGACTCATGATGATCATGAGTTATCATCTTTCTCTTTGCTCCAGGCAGAAGTGACACAACGCTGTCCTCTACACGCCTCTCAGTTTGTTATCAGAATAAAAATAAACCATAAGAGCCCCTTCTCTTTTAAGCCTAGGTGGAAAAAGGGAAGTTTTTCCGCTGACCTACTTATAGTAAGAAAGATGAGAAACGATCTTTCTGAGGGGCCAGGACAATCAACAGGGCTGTTATTCAACATTCCCATTCCACATTCCAAGTTCATAAAAACTGCTCAGCTTTCTGAATGATTTCCCAACAGAAAAGTAGCAACGTAGAAGCACAAATGAATAACAAACACAGATGAACAACATTCCCAGATCTCTTGTTCATACACTCCCCCAGCACACCGCTATAATTTCTTCAACCATCAAAGGAAACCTGAAGTTTTATTATGAGTAAGAGTGCCAGAAAGCACTCAAAGGAAGAACACACAGAGTAATGAAGAAAAGATAGGAAGTCTATTCTATCAAATGGTGAACAAGGAAGAATAATTATAGAACAAGAATTTCAAGACAATAAAACAGCACAGGTATAATCTCCGTTTGAACCTTGTCTCTACTTATTCTTCATGAGACATTACTATGAAAGCCAGGCTCTGCTCCATGTATTGCCTTTTTTTTTTTTCTTTTTTCTTTTTATAGTCATCCATCTTCTCAGAAAACTGTAAGAAGCTGTGGTATATTGCTCCTCAGAAGCAGCATTCAATTTAATTTCTAGTGCACCTTAAGTCACAGCTCATTAGATACCTGATATGTGCTGGTGTAGTACCACAGCAACCTCCAACTATGTTGACCAAACCATCCAATGCAAAGTTCTGCAAAAAGGAGGAAAGCAGAGAATTTAATTTTAAGTTAATACAGGCATCTTATAAAAATATATACATATATTTTTATTATATATATATAAAACATATTTATACGTATATGCACACACACACACTGATATATGCTTTTCTTCTTCCCCCTAAACGTTAAGCAATTCTGGGGATCACAAGACAAAAAAAAAAAAAAAAAAAAATAGTTGAAGAAACAAATATTATTTCTGCTCTTTAGCATTTGTTCTGAAATGTGGACACCCAGAGCTACCCAGAAATTCCAACACCTAATTTTAGGAAACTAGATCTGAAACTGGTCTATTTTATAGCGAAGCCACAGGTAAAAAACTTACATGAATATCAAAGACCACATGTATACTACAGCATAAAAGGGAATGCAACAGATATTGTGTTTTTCCAACACTAGCCACATAGTTCTGTCCTGCACTTATCAAGTAGCACTTGAAAAGACACTCTGCACTGGAACACCTCAAGCATCAGGCGTTCTACCCAAACAACTCTGTAAAACTTCACCAAGTTTATAAAAACTACTCAGCTTTTTGAATGACTCCAAAACAGGAAAGTAACCATGTAGAAGCACAAATGAGTAATATCCACAGATAAAGCTGCAAGAAGGCTACTCAAATCAAAGAGAAAACAGTTTTCAGTTTCTTAAGTAGCTTGTCCGAACCTGGTATCCTGAATGCACTATCATTCAATAAACTGTCTATAAAGAATCAAACTGACATTCAGGGCCAAACGAGGAAAAGAAACAGTACTGTAACAAATAAGCATCCAATATAAGCAAAGAACTGTTGTCTACAAGCAGATTAATTATGACACTTTCACAAGAAATACTGTATACCTTTATGTGCTTTGCAGTCACTTCTGGAGTTTCATCATAACCACCAAAAGTATTGGGAAGACCTTGAAAAATAATTTTCTTTGCATTACAACTTGTTAAATCCCCCAAGAACAGAACTATATTCCATTAAAGACATACTTTAAAAAGCTACATTTATATGAAGACTAGAACTCCTCATCACACTTGGAATCATTACTCACAGACTATTAATCACACGAGAGAGCATTCTAGATTCACTGTCACAGAACCAACAATAGCTATTTTAAGCAGTTTAGAAAATTTTTAAACTCTTCTTAATGGCAGGAACAGTAATTTCTCAAGGTAATTCAGCTCTTATATACCATGAGATGCAATTGTTACAGTTCTTCCCCCTCTAAGTATAGCAGCATGCACACATAACAGACCTGCATTGGGGTAACAGATGACATACGCTGCTGTACATTTTCCAATTGTTTCAATGAATGGTCTCATTTCAACTGCTCCTAAAGCACAATTTAAGCCAATGCTGAAAGATAAAATTTTAAATACTGTTGGTTTTGTTGTTTTTTTTTTTTAATTAAAATGTCAGATAAAATTACACACAAGATAAATGAATGTTAGTAGTGAAACAACTGATTCACACAGCCATCTTCAAGAAAACCAGTCTGATCTCCCCTTTCTTTAATTAATTTAATTTCCATCTATAAAACAAACCTGTGCAAAAGGAGAATCATAAGAAACAAGAAAAGGGCAAAGGGGAAGGAGACAAGTCTGAATTGAACTGGGAATAGTAAATCAAAATTCTGTTTCACAATCAAGGAGTAAAGAGACAACACCCTGAAAGCAACTGCATAGAATGATAGAAGGTTTGAGTTGGAAAGGACCTCAAGTATGGAGTTCTAACAGCTACATCAAATACTACATCAGATTGCCCAGGGCCCTATCCAACCTGCCTTAAATATCTCCAGGGACAGCATGTCCACAATCTTTCTGGGAAACCTGTTCCACTACCTCACCACTCTCTCGGTAAAAAAATTTCCCCCGACTTCTAATCTAAAGCTTCCCTCTTTTAGTTTAAAACCACTCTGCCTCATCCTATAAGTATCTACCTGGGTAAAAAGTTGGTTTACCTCATGCTTATAAACTTCCTTTAGATATTGGAAGGCCATGACGAGGCCTCCCTGCAGCTTTCTCTTTTTCAGGCTGAACAACTCCAGTTCATTCAGCCTGTCTTTGCAGGAGAAGTGATCCAGCCCCTAGATCATCTTTGTGACCCTCTTCTGGACCCTCTTCAAAATCTCCACACCTTTTCTGTGTTAGGAGCATCAGACTTGGATGCAGTACACCAGCTGGGGCTTCACGAGGGCAGAGTAGAGAGAGACAACTCCCTACTGGCCACCTCTCTTCTAATGGAACTCAAGGTACCACTGGCCTTCTGGGCTGCTGACTTATGTTTAGTTTTTCACTCACCAGGACCTCTAAGTTACATTCAGTAGGGCTACACTTGATGAGTTCTTCTCCCAGTCTTCATACATATCTGGGATTATCTTGACCCAAGTGTAAATCCTTGCACTTTGCTTTGTTGAACCTCATTAGGTTCAGAAGAGCCCACCTTTTGAGTTTATCAAGGTCCCTCTGGATGGCATCTCTTCCTTCTGCTTTATAAACTGTACAGCTCAGCCTAGTGCCACCATTAAACTTGCTGAAAGTGCACTCAATCCCACCATCTATGTCATTGATAAAGATGTTAAAGGGTAGTGAGCCCAAGATGGACCTCTGGGGGATACCACTCATTACTGGCCTCCACCTGGACACAAATCCACTGACCACAGCCCTCTGACTGCAACCTTGCAATCCATTCCTTCTCCATCAAATAGCATACCCTTCAAATTCTCCAGTTCAGAGGTAAGGATGTGGTGGGGGAACATGTTAAAGGCTTTGTAGAAGTCCTGGTAGATGACATGAGTTGTCTTCTCTTTGTCCACCAGTATTGTCACTCCACCACAGAAGGCCATCAGATTGGTCCTTCCCTGACCTTCCCTCAGTGAAGCCATGCTGGCTGTCTTGGATCACCTACTTGTTCCTCATGCCTTAACATGTTTTCCAGGAGTGTCTGCTTCATGATCTTCCTGGGCACAGAAGTGAGGCTCACCAGCCTGTAGTTCCCCAGATCCTCCTTCCTCTCCTTCCTGTAAATGGGAGCGATGCTTTCTTTTTTTCAGTCCCCTGGGAATTTTCAAACATGATGGCAAGTGGCTTGGCAACCACATCAGCCAGCTCCCTTAGGACCCTGGGATGCATGTCATCCAGCTCCATGGAATTGTGCACATCCAGTCTCATGAGTTGGTCACAATCCTTACAGTGGGGAGGTGTTTGCTGCCCCACTCCCCACCTACATGTTCAGGAATGTGGGATTCCTGGCTCCCAGTGAAGACTGAGGCAAATAACTCATTGAGTACCTCAGCCTTCTCCGTATCTGTTACAGCCAGTTCTCCTTTCTCATTTAGCAGAGAAGGTATGCTCTCTTTGGCCTGTCTCTTCTGACATATTTACCTGAAGAGTCCCTTCTTATTTTAACATCCGTTACCAAGTTCAGTTCAAACTGCAGCAACATACCTATTTTCTAAATGCAAAAGAGAACATGTGTAATGAAAACAACAGACTGAAAAAGAGCCTTGTTCTAAGGAATAAAAAAAAAAAAAGGTTGGAAGAGCAAGAATTGCTTCAAGCCACGAACTCAATAATTCTGCTTAGAAATTATACATAAATTATGTCAGCTTTGGAAGACACTGAGTGCATCCCCCAGGACACCTCAAAGCAGCACTAAGTTTGGGCAACTGAATCTGCTCAGCACATTATTTTACATCTTAGTGACGCAGACAGAACTACAGCTTCTGCTGTAGTCTTTGCGTGACTAAAGCTCTCACAATTCTACTGACATAAGTGGAACAATCATGTTTTCCTTCATTCAGCCACACATACAAAAATGCAGTTTTTACTCAAAATGTCTGTATTGATATTAGAAGCGAAAATTTATATTTCAGAAAGTACATAAGAGATCTTTTTCATTGTGATCCTGGTTTCTAGAAACCATCCTAAAAGCACAGTAAAACCTGAAAGATGTTTACAGTGCTGCTGAAAGAAGTAATAATCATCACAACATCATCCTGAATTTTATCTCCCTTCCTTGCTCATTGCTTCATATAAATGATACATCAGCTTCTGTGAAAGCTAAGACTGCAGAGTGCCCTTGGGACCAGAACAAACACCACATGAGAGTCCTGAACTCAGGATATATCTTAACAGTAACACAGTAGAAATAACACAAACAAACTCATTCCACACCTGAGCATCCTTTGCAGCAAGCATCTGGCAACACATCCTTCAGCACCTATAGTAACAGTTCACGCATTTCTCAGCCGCTATCTTGTCAACTAAACAGAGGACACATGTTTTAGGCAGACCCCAAGCCAAACTGACTGAAGGACAATGCATCACCCTGAACAGGAAATACAAAACCAAAAAGGAAATATGTGAACAGGTCCCTACAAGCATGAACATGATCCCTAGGATACTGTGTCCGATCAGCTTTTTCCTAAACCCTGAAGACACTCAATCTGCCAAGATGAACTGTTAAATGCAATCTGCTCCCAAAACTAAGAACCTTCTGCCACAGTGCTGTGTAGCAGCCTTTGCACAAATGGGAAACAAGCCCTAAGCATTCAGACATATAAGATAGCTTTATTTAACAAATTTATTTAACAAATCCTTAATTTCTGCTCCAGTGCCCTTCTCTGTCCTTCAGAGAGAAGACAGTTATGAGCAATCTTATCTGAGATAGACATATGCCAAATACATATCACTAAACTGTGATGCTGAGCAAAAGAGTCAACTACTACTCTGTTCCAAGAGGCTCCATATGTTACTTCTGGAGCACCGTCTGGTCTGGGAAAGTGAAGCCTCAAGGGCAGTCAGTAAAACTGTGAATGCAGTCTTCTGCTTTTGTATCACTGAGATGACAGATTGTGCATTTTCACTGGAATTTTGTTGTAAAAACAAACAATGGCTCATCACAATGTGCATAGTATGCACTGCTAATACCAAATTACATATCTTAAGTAAAATAACTTAGGAAAAAATATATACATTTTCTTCATAAGTTTGTGTGAGAAGAACAACCTGAAAGAAAAAGTAGAAGAAAATAGAAATGTAGAAAAAGAATAGAAACACAGAATAGAGAAATAGGAAATAGTATTCAAATTAACATGCAAGACCTTGTACAATGACCAAAATCTGCTACAGTATGCATCTTCATAAGTCTTAATCTCATACTTTTTTTTTTTTTTTCCTTCTAGCCTCAACAGACAAGAACAGGAGTTAAGTGGTAGAGTCAGGAGCTCTCAAAACCAACATGCACATCTTGGAGAAAAAACACAATTTTGTAAAAATTCAGTAAAAAGAACACTGGAATGAAATCTCACTATTTTGTCTTGTGATCCATCCTGAGATATTTTGAGCTGACACTGCTTCCCTCTAAGAAGATGTATGTTCTGCCCACCAGGGATTAGCTTCTTGCACAATCTGAGATAGTAAGAGATGCCAGAAATTTTTTTTTTTAAAATGCTTCGACCTACTTGTGATTTCCAGGTTGTTACAAACACAGCACACCAAATTATTTACAGCAATGTTTTAAAGTTCAGTGTTCTTTGGAAACATAACTTCTGCTGAGGGAACCATAGCAGAACTAAATAGCAATACACGCGATAAAATTGAAAACTGTTAGTGTAACTTCCATTTCACTATGAACAAGGGGTCAAAATAAGAAAGAATCACATTCTACAAACTACTTACTAAGCAAGAGATACATTTCCTTACCAAAGTGGCTTACTGTGTGAAACACTAATGACAAATGCCTCTCCTGTCTGGCCTGAGAGGGTGCGCCCACTCTTATCTACGATGGTTCCAGAAACCTAATTACCAAGTGAACAGGGAGAAGAATTAAATCAATAAAAGCAAGAATTTAAAAGGCTGAAATGCTGAAAATCAAAACAGATGAACATATAGTCCACTCAAAGTGATGAGACAACCAAAGTAGGGTTAGGCTTATTTTAATTAGTTGAACACAGCTAAGACTAATTTGATAAAGCCCTGCACATTAAAGTTTCTCCATTCACAGTCACAAAAATGTACTTTTCCAAGACACTGATTTCATTCATTTCCAGACAGATTTCAGAAGGGTTTACTGAACTACCATCTAGTTCACAAATCTAGCTTATATATACGTAAAATATTAAGTACTATACAAATTACTTACAAATATGGGTCGAGGAGTGTATTCTTCCTCAAACAACTTGTGGAGTGCAAAAAGAGCTGCCTAGAGAAGAATAAATTGCAAAACTATTAACGGGTTTTAGGGGTGGTTCTTCTGTTTGTTGGGATTTTTTGTTTGTTCAGGTAAGCTTTTGCTTTCATTAATATTTTTAGTTACTTTTATGGCTGTTTATGCAACTTGCAACCCCAGTACTGCCTGTAATCTCACCACAATCAAGAGGCTTTCTCCTTATCTCTGATATCTTCTAGATTTTCAAACACATTTTGGTAACAGGTATAAAACAAGTATTGTGGGATAACCAAATGAGAACCAGATGCTTCTGAACTCCAAATCACATCAGCACATAGTTCTCCCTCCAGTCTGCAGCACAACCCTTGCCCCAAACACAAGTTATATGTACTACTTTTCGTACACATTCACTGCTCTTGAATCTATCTAGACATACAGTTTGCAAAGAACTTTGACCAACACAAATTTTAACAGTAAAGACTGACATGACCCCTTCAAGTTCCTGAAAATTGCTTGCCTACTTAGGATAAGAACGTTGCACATGAATATGAACTTCCTTCATCACAGTGTTAAAACTATGGAGTCCTAGCCAAAACTCCACGATGATGGGTCAAATCTGTAAAGGATGAGTCATAACACTGCATGTTAATCAGCCTGTGGCAGAAGCCTGAAGAAATGCTGTTTGCTTATCCAGTCTGACTTTTCTATATAGAATTGCAAGTTTTAAGCCCCATAGCAAGTCTATTACTACACTGAATAATTTTAAGAAATATTTTATCCTCCCTATCCTCCTAATCCTCTACTCCTAATTTTTGTTTTTTAAATTTGAAAGCAGTATCAAATTCCCTCAAAAACAAACAAACAAAAAAAAAACCATTACAAGCTTTCCCACTCCTGCAGTCACATACACTGGACAGCCCCTCTCCAATGTGCACCACAAATATACCAGATTTGCTTACACTGAAGAATAAAAATATCAAATGCATTTGGAGACGTTCTGCAATAGAGCACAGCTCCTGGGAATAAGAGAACAGCTGGTACAAACAGCAAGGAAGATATTAACAGCACATATTGAGAGAAAAATTCTGGAAAAGGCTGTTTTATCATTAAAAAAATATTTCCTTTCTTCATGTTAGCTAACAAATGAAGTCCTGACACATTTAATAAGCAGTTGCTGATTGCTCTTTCAAGTACCATATTGAATTTCCTTAGGTAGTACACTAAGTATTTATATAACCAATTTATATTTTTTTTCCCCACAAGCCTCACCTTGGCATTGGCTGTATCAAATATGGTTTCTATTAACATGATATCTACTCCTCCATCCAAAAGTCCTTTGGCTTGTTCTGTATAGGCTTCAACCAGTTCATCAAAAGCTATAAAACAGGAATTACGTTTACTTCACCTGGAGGTATCTGTTTCAATCCATCACCCAAATCAAGTAATTTAATGGTTATAAATACTTACTTATGTTCCTGTAATCTGGTCTCTCCACAGATGGTGACACAGAAAGTGTCCTATTTGTTGGACCCATTGATCCAGCAACATATCTCTTAACTCCTAAACCAACATGCAGAAGAAGAAAAATAAAATACAGTACCTCTAGTTCTACAGTGATAGCCTTCTCAAAGCAAAAAAAAAGATCAAGAACTATCAAACTATTCTTAAACCAGGCCTTTGGTTAACACACAAGATCACCCAGTACAGACAACTTTTTCTGTTTTAATTCTATCCAAGATGTTCAATCTACATATATAAGACAGAAGAATGTCTGTGCAAAAGACAATCATAAGCTATTGGCTCAATTTGTTTTTCTTTTAGTATCATTTTTCTTTGATATACAAAGCCTCACCCAACTACCTATGCACAGCATAGAACTATCCTGGCATTTTTTGTTAGATAACATGATTTGAATGGTCTGGCATGCGTTCATAAAATTTTAAAAGTGCTGTGTTTCTTTTTCTTTTTCTTTTTTTTAAAGCATATTTCAAATCTTACATTTTTTACTGCATAGGATGAATTACAACAGTAAGATTTTCATCTGCAACAGCACATTAGTTTGAAATAGAATTTGATGCCAGAATACAAGACAAAATTCCTTGTCCTTGAAACACAGAAGTAGAAATGAGTCATAATCTTCTCACAGGAAGCCCTGAAAGTAGAAGGCTGCACATTTACAGGTGATGGTCAGATATTAAGCAGATTCCAGTATCTGCTGGGTAGAGTCAAACCAGGAGATTTGCACCAGAAGTAATTGGTAGTCCACGTTCACATATAATCAGCTATCCTAATTCTGTAAGAATTAAACCTTTCAAACTTACATAACTTATAAGCTGTTCAGTCTGTCTTCTCTAAAACACATCTAGCACATATGCATTGCCTGCAGTCTAAAACAGCCAAGCTCAAGATAGCTTTACTGTAGATCACATTAAGTATCAGATCCTGTAAACACACTGAAATCCCTGTGGTATGAATTATGATACAAAACAGTTGCTATCACTAAAATGAAGTTTTCATGCCTGCAGACTGTATTCCTCCTCTGGCTAGTAACATCTCAGAGATTGTGGCAAGGCAGGTCAAAACAGCAAATGAATAAGAACTTAAGTACGGTTTACCTGTCTGAGCAGTTACATCATCTGCTGCTTTTCTGGCCACTTGTGCAGAGGTTCTGTTTAATCTATATGCCTAGAACAGTAACAGACAATTATAAACAAACCCCGAGCTCAAAGCAGTGTAATACACCCTGAAAGAAATACAACTCCTCCATTCTGAAGCCTGCAATACACTCTAAAGAGTTGCTTATAACAAATTAAACACACAAGTTCCTTTCAAGACTACGTGATAGAACAGCTCAGCAAGATAGATGGCTGATCTCATCCCACATGTGTCAGCCTACAGCTGCTTATCAGAACATTTAATTTTGTAAGGTAATAATTAAATCCTTCTGAGTCAACAAAAGCTAAAGAACAGAACTTTGAGGATAAAATTAACCTACTTTTAAACTCACTTTTTATTCAAGTAGCATACTTGCAACTATTTTCTTTTGCAAATCCCTTTGATTTTCAGAACACATACCACAGAGCAGGTATGATATACACAAGATTGAAAGCAATTCCACATTAACACCAACACAATCCTACCCTGTCTGCAACAGACCTCCAGGTCAGAGAGTCAACTATGCAGACAACACCCAGGAAAAAACACATTTCCACTGTGGCACTTGATACTTCAGAAGCACTGAAGCCTACCAATCACATTCACAGAACTGAGAACTACTGCTCAACCAAAATCTAGGACAGACCGTTATTCCCTGTGCTTCCATTAGCAAGAGGCACACCACAACTGTCACACATAGAGAATGTAATCTTCCTCCTTCTATTTTTGCAGAAATGAGCTGCAACCCTACCACCTGGCCCAACAGACAGCATGCAGTCAATAAACAGCCTTGACAGACCTTGCAAATAAATTAATTCTGGCTGCTAAGACCAAAATTTTAAAAAACATTTAAACATATAATTAATTTAGAGTTCTTACCAAATGCTCAAGGCCATAGTCAGCTTGTGCAACTCGAGTGCTGCTGAAAGTGTTAGTTTCAATGATGTCAGCACCTGCAAGCAAGTATTCCTGAAAAATATGAGAGAGTAAAAAAGTCTCCAAAATTTTCAGAACAGAGCTGGAACAAAGGCAACCTATCTATTTTGTCTCAACCTGTTGAAAAAACAAAGTCACAAATCACCGCCCAAATCAAAGGAGATCAAGTTCTCAGTGCAGTTACTCAGTTTAAGGCATGGGGCCAAAGCAACAGAAGTGTTCCATATAATCACCTTCCAGAATTCTAGTGTCAATCACACATTCTATTGACATTTAATGAACCACCCCAGCTATTAATTTCAGCACCTGAAGAACATTTTGGATTTTTACACAGGGACACAGCAGGGAGTTATCCAGTCACCATCAGCTACCAAGGGCTGCTGTGAGCAGACCTGGGAAAGGCAGCAGTGAAACAACAGCAAATGATTAGAAAATTTACACGTTATGAAGGGAACTTTACAGCACAAGGCAGCATTGTGACAGAATATAAGCTTAGGAGAATTACATTTTGTGCAGATCACATTTAAAGTTTAACTAATGACCCATATTCATGAAATAATTAAGTGTTCAGCTGCTGTTTGGCTGACTAATTACAAGCGAAGTAAACTGAAATCAATGCAAACTGAAATACCTTTTTATATTCTGCCCTTTGTTTTGATAACCTCTCTCAATTGCTTTCCTCCTTTCCTTTCTCATCAGGGTAACATCTGTAACTCTTATGTGATTATCCAACTTTACATTTGGTTAGACCTAAAATATTCAATCTCAAGCTACATCTCTAACACTCTAATAACTCTGTGGAATTCAACTGTTAAACCAGCTTTTCTGATTAACAATACAAGCCCAGCAGCCTACAGAAATTCCAAAGTTCACAATTACAGCTCAGTTGACAGTCTTGGGACTGAACTCAATCTACAAATATTTATTCCTAAAATTTTGATCAAAAATTCTTTTCAACTCATCTTTCTTAAAATTCAAAGACTGACAGAATGTAAACACAAATATACAGAATAAATACTAAGGTTTGCAAACACATACCAATTATGATTCTAAACAATGACATACAAATCTTTATAATAAACGTCTGGAAAAAAATGTAAGGCCTCAATTGAATATCAATAAGTTGCAGTGCTTTGCAATTGTTCAAATTATTGCAGAAGGACCTAGAAATATCTGCAACTCAAGAAATACAAGACTTAAGAAGGTTTTATTGCTGTTTTTAAGTCTGTTTTTTTTGTTGTTGTTGTTGTTGTTTGTTTGGTTTTTTTTTTTTTAAGTCTAACTGAAGATATGGAAATTATAAAATCTGTTTGCAAATTCCTAATGAACACATATAAACTGTTTCATTCTCTGTGCCACACATTAATATTCCAGGAAAAAAAGAATATGGCTTTCTAATGCCATATTTTTCCATTTGTTCCCTATGGAAAGGTCTGCTTCAGGCAGCCACATTTAACAGCCCTTTAATACACAATTACAGAAACATGCACCTAGAATTCAAATTTGTCCTACTTAGATGCATTTTCACTACTCCCTGAGGAGGAGAAAAGGAAAAAATATTTACAATTAACAGAAATGCAGCAGCAACACGAGACAAAAAGGCATATTAAAACAATGCTAAGTGACATTAGAAACAAAGACACAAATGCTATGGTCATGTAACCAGAAAAGTCAAATCTGTTCATTCTTTTTCACTTGGCTACCTAGCACTCACTTCCCTAATCCCTAAAGAGACAGGAGAGCCAGAAGCTTATGGGGAGCACAGAAACCAAATTCTGCTTCCTTCTGCTGTCAAGAGACAGAACTACCTACCTTGTGTATGTCACAGATTATATCAGGCTGAGTTATGCTCAGAAGGTCATTATTGCCTTTCAGAGGCTTGGAATGATCTTTAAATTCATGCCCTCGGAAATCTCCTTCTGACAGAGCATGCTGCTGGATCATGGTACCCATGCCTCCGTCCAAAATCATTATGCGCTCCTGCAGAACTGATGCAATTTCGTCTTCCACACTTTCCTGGTTATATGCTGCAAGAAAAGAAATCCAGTATTTAAGCAACTTTTGAAATTCCTAATCTATACACTTGAATAACCCGAGTTCTTCCCGTTTAAGAAAGAGAATAAAATAACTAATTCTATACTGAAATCAAACACTATTTGGTTTATTCCACCTAGAGCTCCAATCACATCATTAGCTGCATCTATCTACGTAGAATTAGACTCAATGGGTCTTTCACCTCAGTGCAGTCATCTGCATAGAGCTGGCCACAGAAATATCAGTATGAGCAGTACACAAGGGCATACACATCAAGCTCTCATATAAACTAGTTTCCAACACTGAGAAGCACGATAACTTCAACTAGAGTGACAACTGAACAACGCAGAACTGCTTCTTGGTACCAAACACCATACTGTAAGTAACACACAAGTGCCAACCAGAAGGCAGGACCAAGGAAAAGCAATTCTTCAACTGAGTCCAAAATTCACAAAAAGCTACAGGACCTCTTTTTTGCATTAGAATAGTAAATAATGATTTTGCATTTGTGTTAGTGAACAGATGCTACAATACACAAACAGATAAGAGCCAGATAACATTCTGCACAACCACAAGATCTCTGCAGCAATGACAGAATAAAATTAATCTGGCTAACCACGTGCTGATTATAAAATGTTGGATTGGGAAATTTTTGTTCAGTGTTTTCTCATTGTTATCACTGAAGTAGAAAACAACTGAAGTTTCAGAATAATTATTAGAGATGAAGATACAGTATTCTAATGCTTTATGATCTAAATGAAAGCTCAGCCCAAATATAATGCAGAAATTCAAAACCATAAATAAAACCACAATAAAAAACTATATCTTGCCCACGATAACACAAAATCAAGTAATCCAACTCCTGCTCTTAGACTCCTCCTATTTTTCTACAAGCATGTTGATGAGTGAAGCACAATTGTTCATCCTCTTTCATTCAGCTTGTGCTTGCTTACTCTGAGCAAACACCTGTTTTGCATTTTTTTGATAACATGTTACATTATCATCAAAACACTTGCAAAAAACATCATTTCTGAAACACAAATATGTCCTTATATCTCATCACAACTCACAGGCGGGAGTACTTAATAATCATTGTACCTACTAATGACTTTGAATCTTTCCTTCTGAATTCTTGTAGTACAACTTCTGTTTTGACACCAGTATTACTCAAAATAAATAATGCTACAGAGAAGATGAGGCCCAGGGTCAAGTATTACAAGGTTATATTTATACAAAAACCAAAGAAGACCTGCTCTAAATCAGCTCTCCCAAAAAGAGAAGCCGAATAAAATTTTCAAGTGAACATACTTGCTATAATAAGTATGAAGCAACTGAAGGGAAGATGAAAGTACCAAAAGGAAAAAACTCCTCACCCTCAAGTAGAAATTTTGAACACCAAACAGGCAGGCTTAGCAGCTTCCTATACAAAAGCTTAAACCTATTCATATTAAACTACCAAATTATTCATGAAAATAAAGTCAATCTTCAACCTAAAGGCTTTCAAAAGCAAGACCCAAATACCGCATATCAGAAAGCGTGCCTGCACTGCAGACTTATATGAAATGTAACTCTTTCACATCAAGAGAGCTGCAACCCAATGAGACACACGTGAGAGCTTGCTTTCACTTTAAAGTGGTCCCAAGGTCAGTGATACAACAGGGAGACCACTACAGCCTCACCAGCTGTGCCATGCCATTGCAGTCTCCCCCTCCTCCATGCCATAGGCCTTTACCCCTCGTACCCTTTGCTTCTCTCTCACACACTGGGAAGCACACAGACATTCAGCCATCTCTTTGGTTTTGGACCCTGCATCTCATGCAGCCCGCTTTGCTTTCTCTACAGCTTGCTTGGCTGAAGATACACCACTTTAGTGTCCTGTTTTCTACCCATAGCAGCAGTTTTCTGCTTAATCTCTGCTCCCAAGGCTGAAAAGAGCCTTACTCTGAGAAGCTTGTAAAACCTGTACCTCTTCAGGAGTATCTTAAAGAGGCTGCAGAAAACAGAGTGGGAATCACGATGGTGGCTGCCACTGCCAGACAGATTTCATGCTACAAATGCATGGCACAACTTCAAGTTCTTTAAAATCCATTTAACCTATCCTTGCTAAGGGTCAACCCTTCATCCATTAGGAAACCCACCCTGCTTTGAGACATGCTCTGGCACAGACAATGCAATTTTCAAGTCAGAAATAAACTCTACTGACAAATCCAAGGAGAGCCCAGAAATCAGGCAGGATCAATTCATAAAAATGCTAGAAAGTGCTGAACTTTATCCCTGGGAGAAAAGTGAGGCTGGCAGTCAGTTCTACTAAACCAAGAACCATCCTCCTCATTCAACATTCAACTCTCATAATTCCCCTCTCAAAAAGAGTTAGGATGCAAGAGCCGGCTAAAGAATAAATGAAAAAAATGCTTGGAGATATTCCTAAGCAAAGGAAATCAGTCTGTTCTTGCTGTTTCCTTTTTATTACTTTCTTTTATTTACAAGCCCTATTCCTACCTCAAATTGCTCAGCCAGAAGTTGGGGGGGAAAAAAAAGCATTTTATGAAGATCACTGGGGAGCCTTAGAAAATTGGTTCCCTCTTTATTCAGATGTGTCATATGAACAAGGGAGTCGCTAGCTAAAGCAACTTTTATCACTCCTAGACGTTACCAAGTAATTTTGCCCAACACTTGAGATGTCTCCCCAGTACAGCTGTCTACTTTTACAGTTGTTCTGTGACTAAAAGATATAAGCTTTGCCCATTTGTAACCTAACATTTCCAAATGCAGCAGCTCAACAGCCCCAGGGATGAAACAAGACATTCCTTCAATTTGCCTAAAAACACTTTTCTTTTTTTTGCTGCTACGATTTTCAAAAGGTACTTTTTATGCACCTATGCTATAAATCTATTAGCATAAAGCCATTTGGCAACAAGTCCCTGGGAAGAAATAAAGGATTACAATTTGCTTCCAATGTTTTAAATACCCAACCAAGTTGTGAAAGTAGACATTTCATCACTTCACTGTGAAACAACACGAATTAAGGAATTACAAGGAGATTTAGACACTTAAAACACCATTCACTAGTTTGACCAGGTTCTGCCCTAATCAGCAGAGCAGCTGCAAATTGTTTATTTTAATTCAACGAACTAACACTGACTCACAAAGGTCTCAGCAAGCTTTCTCCACCATTCAAACAAGTATATTAAAAAGCATGCAGAAAAGCACCAACCATAGACAACAGCAGCTAGGAAGACCGCTCCTGCTATTAGCCTGCCAAAAACTACTGATGACAATTTTGTAATCACTCACTGTTTGATTAATTAAATCTTCCTCAGCTGGATGCCCTGTGGCAGCACTGAGTTTCACGAACCATAGCAAGAGTCAGCAGACAGGTTCTCAGCAGTAACCTACTGTTAACCTATTTGTTACCCCTCCTACCCAAGCAGGGTCTCACTGCATGGCATGCCCTGCTGCTGAAGAGACAGGGAGAACACGCATCCTTTGCTGTACTGCCAAATATACTCATCATCAACTACTGCCTTATGACTGTGCAGTGTGGATCCACAAACATTCCCACAGGCAGCATTTGTTTCCATCTGAAACAGGACTTTCCTCCAACAGCCATTGTTCTCAAACATTAGAAAATCACCAAACTATAGAATCACTAGGGTTGGAAAAGACCTCTGAGACCACTCAGTTTGACTGTCAGCCCACCGCCACCACAGCCACTAACCACATCCCTCAGTGCCACACCTCCACGTTTCCTGAACACCTCCAGGGATAGCGACTCCACCACTGCCCTGGGCAGACCATTTCATTTTCTCACCAATCTTTCTAAGAAGAAACGTTTCCCAATATCCAATATCTGAACTTCCCTTAGCACAACTTGAGACCATTACCTCTTCTCCGGTTGCTGTCACACAGCCTCCTTTCATGCAGTTGTAGGGAGCAATCAGGTCTCACCTGTGCCTCCTCCAGACTAAACAATCCCAGCTTCCTAAGCTCCTCATAAGACTTGTGCTCCAGATCCTTCACCAGCTCTGATGCCCTTCTCTGGATACACTCGGGGCATCAATGTCTTTCTTGTTGCGAGGGGCCCAAAACTGAATACAACGTGCAAGATGTGGCCTCACCAGAGCTGCATGCAGGGGGGACGGTCACCTCCCTGCTGCTTCTGGATGCATTATTTCTGATACAAACTAGGATGCCCTGGGCTTTCTCGACCACCTGGGCGCACTGCTGGCTCACGTTCAGCTGAGTGTAAACCAACACCCCTGGATCCTTTTCCTCCATGCAGCCTTCCAGCCACTCTGCCCCAAGCCTGTAGCATTGCCTGGGGATGTTGCTACCAAAGCACACGACCCAGCACTTGCTCTTGGATACACAGCTGGACTCAGCTCACGGCTGCTGAAAAACCCCTTCCCATTTCCCGTTTCAGCCACGCGTAGGTTCTGCAGCGGCAGGACAGCGATGCTGTGACAGCACCCAGCACGTGGCAAAGCTGTAAGCAGACAGAGGAACCCGGGCAGCCGGCGAGCAGAAGGGCGGCATGCCTGCTCAGCACCACCCAGAGCACGGCAGGGGCTGCACAGCCGATTCCCTGAGAAAGATTATAAGGGAGAGAGCCCGGCATCCCTGCACAGAGCAGAAAGCGGTGGCAGGCAGAACTGCCCATTTCAAAATACTCCAACGCCAAAAGGGGCTGATTTTACTTCCCCTCCGCTTTTAATATCTTCCTTAACCCAGGAAATGCGACTTGTGGCTTAGAACCAAGGAACAGCTGCGAGCACGCCCAGGCTTCGCTACAAAGCGGCAGCCTCAGAAGGCGGGCTCTGTTTTGCATCATTTTTATTTTGTTCCCGACCGAACTCCATCCGGCGGCACGGAGCAGGTCTGGGAGCAACCCCTCCGAGACACCGGCACGCACGGAAGCGACCGACAGCTTTCCGGAACGAGCGCCCTCACCAGCTCCATCCCCGCTCCGCTCGCGGCCGGGCTGAGCGCTCAGGACAGCCGCACATACCCGGCCGGCTCGGAGCGGCACGAGTACGCCAGCGGCGGCCCCCAGGCTGCCGCCGCGCCCCCTGGCGGGCGAAGCAGCTGCACGTGCCCGGCTCCGCAACCCGGCCCCCCGCGGCCCCCCGCCGTCGCCGCTCCCCGCCCCGCACAGTGCACGCGCCCGTTACCCGGCGGGTCCGCGCCTACGCGCGCCATGCTGCCGGCACGACGCAGCCCGTCGGACGAGCACGAGCCGCGGGGCCGCCGCGCCACCCCCTGACGCGCGAGCCCCGCCCCGAGCAGGGCGGCCGCTGCAACCGTTAGCGCTGCTTCGCGCGCCCGCAGTCTCTCGCTTTTCGGGGGTCAGGCGGAGGTCTGCCACGGGAATGAGGCAACGGCCGCCGCTGTTGCAGCAAACGGGCTAAAAGCCAGGCTAAGGGATTGGCTTGCTTCCACTCTGCGGCTCTGCTCGGGGCTGGATGGGGAAAACGTCCCCCCCTCCCATCCGGCTTTCCTCGTAGCGTTACGTGCCGACGGTAAGGCCTGCCCCCTGCTGGGGAAAGCTGGGAAAAGCACCTCTGGAATATGGCGAGAACGCTTGTATCGCCCCTAACGACCTTCTGCAGCGCTAAGGAAGCAAACCCATCCCGCGTTACGAGATGTCTTTGTCTTGCGTGTTGTGTATCACCAATTTGTACGAAATGAGCAACTTAAAGCACGGTTTGCTTTACAGGTGAACAAAGCAAATAAAGCGTGTTTAATTTTGTCTTAAGAGTTTCACTTTTTTTCTGCTGTGTCAGTACAGCCTTCAGCCTGTTATCTGAAGACTCACATTGTGAAGGAAAGCAGGTCTGTTCTTGCTGCAGATCAGCCTCTCAAAAGTCACACTGAGGAGAACTACTGCTCAAGTTTGCCAAAAGCTGGAATAACTGAAGGGAATAACCGTTGCACTCAGAACAAATGTCAGTAGTTCAGATGCCAGTAGTAACCATGAATAGCATTGGCATTTTAACCAGCTCCATCTTTAAAACAAGAAAAGAAAATGGAAGGATGTAAAATAGACTGCTGAGCAGCCTGTCCTGCTTTCCTCGGTTCAGTAACTTCAGCAAACAAAGAAAATTCTGTACTGTCCATGAAGATATAGAGGCCACAGATTCTGTGTAACAGGACAGAACTGAATTTGTTTCCTTCCTGTAGGTGTCTGAGCTTTAGTTGTGTGTGATAGTTGGGAAGAAATCTCAGAGTGGTTGAGGTTGTGGGAGCCATTTGGGGTCATCTAGTCCACCTCCTGCTTCAGGTCCGGTCACCTAGAGCACATTGCCCAGGATCACATCCAGATGGGTTTTGAATATCTCCACAGGAGACTCCACAGCATCTCTGAGCAGCGTGCTCCAGTGCTCAGGCACCCTCACAGCCTGGCCCCATCCTGTTGATACTCTCCCTTAAGTAACTTGTACATATTAAAAATATCCCTCTCAGTTTTCTCCTGCGGGTTAAGCATGCCCAGCTCTCTCATCCTTTCCTCACAGGAGAGACATTCCAGACCCTTGGTCATCTTTGCAGCCCTTCACTGTACTTGCTGTAGGAACTCCATGTCTTTCTTATACTGTAGCACCCAGAACTGGACGCAGTACTCCAGATGTGGCCTCACCAGGGCAGAGTAGAGGGGGAGGATAACCTCCCCTCTGCCTACTGGCTGCACTCTTCCAAATGCAGTCCAGGATACCGTTGGCCTTCTCAGCCACAGGGGCACACTGCTGGCTCATGGACAACCTACATGGTTGGTTGGTTTAATCCTACAGGCTAAATATTTACACTCAAATTCTGAGAGTAAATTTTTAAGACGTAAAACCAGTTGGTTACAAACCCTTTGAATTTAATGTGATCTAGAAACTTAAATCAGCTCTCACTTCAGTCAGCGGTGATGCAAGTACATGTAGAAATGTAGCTTTAGGATTAAATAATATACGTCTAATTCAGCTTCATAAGAAATACAGTCAAGCCTAAAAATCAACTGGGCATAGTTGAACTTGCATTGTAGAGACCATGCTCTGGTTTTGAATGATGACATTTGCAACAGAGCGGACCTGACCTCTGGGCAAACCAGTCCAGTGATCAGCCCAAACTCTCACTGCAAAATTGTGCCCTGAAATTCCAGTGTAAGTTGCTGATTGTCTGGAAAATCATTATTTTAAAAGTGTAACACGGGAGGTGGAATAATGTACAAAAATCAGTTACTTCTATAGACTGGTTAATTTTACCACTTTCACACAGAATTTTCACACTTTATTGGAGATAAGCAACACTTTAAGCACCATTCAATCAGGTGATTTCAGGGGAGTATATTGCCTTGTTTGACTTTCTACAATTGCCAGCTTTTTTGTCATGCCATGCAACACTATGGGATTTTTCTCTGACAGCAGTTCAGGCTAACAAGCTCAGTCTCCACAGTTGCTTTGTGGCAGCAGATCTTTGCACCACAGATCAGCACGTCCATGCGTGCACTGATGCGGTTGTTTGTGTAACTGCTGCAAAGTAGGTCAGTAGGAAAAAAAAAAAAAGCAAAAAAAAAAAGAAAAGCTGGAAGTTTGAAGGTGCTCCTGACAAGGATCATTTTGCATAGTCCTGTTTACTCCGCAGTCTCACAACCAGTTTGAGCCAGTTTGACAATGCACCACTGCAAACAGACAGTCCTAAATTCTACCCTGCTCCATTCTCGTGTTCTCATGCCTGTCTCCGTGCAGGTTCTAGCCTTCAAAGGGCACTTCCTTAAACGTCAATTTTCAGTGAGAACGGTTCTCCAATCCGATTCGTCTGCAGCTGTGCAGTCTCCAGAGCTAGTAAAGGACAGTAGCAGGAAGAGAAGGCAGCAGCACCTCACTCTCAGTTTCTGCTTAATCTGTGTGCTTTATGGACAACTGAGTGAGTGCAACCAACGCAAGATACTCTCCAGAGGCTCAGCAGAAGAGCACTGACTGGCTGAGGGCAGTGATTATCAAACCAGACCATCCAACAAGGGAGCAGTTAGAAGAAACATTACCTTTAATATGATTTGTGGTGCTTATTGGAAGATTCTGAGTCCTTAATCTTGACTTATTTTCAGTGATTACCATTACTTAGCAGTGCTAAGAGTTGTATGTGTGTCACTGTCCTTATTCTGCTGCAGGGTTTGTTTGCAGGAAACCTTCAAGAACTTGCAATGAGAATGCCCTTACACTTGAAAGTGTTTTTCCTTTGTCTTTTGGAGTGCTGTTATCATTTTGCTAATTTAGACTACCTAAGCACTTTTCCCTGTTTTATATTTAAAGTAACACCAGATGCAGCTTAGAATTGCCAGAGCAATGGGGCAAAGGATAGTAGAATATAAAGATGCCATTATCTGGGAAAATCTTGCATCCTACTCCAGCACACACTTTGGGATGGTGAGTTAGGAGCATTATGGGTGGTCAAATTAAACTTTAATTTGGCATCGTTCTTGGAATTTATTTAGTATTTAGAGGTAACCTATATAGTGGTCTTGGAAGCTGCTTGTTCCCCATACGCAACCTAATAAATGCAATGGCTGTTAAGTATTCTGGACCTCATTTTAACAAATTTAAAGGTAGCAAAAAATAAATGTGACACTAAATATTCCTTTTGTAGAAGTGCTGAAGTTCTCAAATACCTTGTCAGTTCTGCACCAGAGCTCTAGTTTATCTGATTTATTGGGTTGAACTGTCAGCATATAAATAAAGAAAAAGGAGGAGTGTGTCTCCAAAAATAAAGGTAGTGTACTATTGTCAAAAGAAGGTGGGAGCAACTCCTTTGGATAGACTGTAGACTAATGACGTTTTCTGTTTCACATGGGGAAAACATCGTTATATTATGATTACGAAGAGTTGTGATGCAAAGCTGTCTTTATGCAGTTTCACAAAAATTTGCTTCCAACGTCAGCTTGAGACTAACAACAGAACCAAATGTAATGCTGCCAAGTTAGCCCTATTTAAACATCTGTTGCACACACTATCACGCATGCAAACATCTGTTGTCATGCTGAGCACCGTGGTTTCTGAAGGTGGTAGGAATACTTCAGTGCAGCTAACACTGCAACAGGATTTAACTCTGAATCAAAATAGATATCGTTATCTAAATAAATGTTCAAGTCAGATCACATTTTGGCATTTCAACTATATTTGGAGGTGTTTTCAAGCTACTTCTTTCCCTGCCTTCTGCACACAGCTAAACTTACTGGTTTTTTTGAAAACAGGGAGTGTTTCAAGCAAAGCAGTCTTTGTATTTTGAGATCTGGTTCAGCAGTTTTTTCTACTTAGACACCCATGTTTTCACATTGCACACTTGTGTAGGTAGGACCAAACACTGACCATTAGGATGCTCTTTTAGCATTTGACTGTGTGTTTTAAATACCTCTGTAGTATTCATTACTGAACAATGGATTTTATTCTTGTATTTACCTGTCTCTGTTCCTACAGCCAACAGACCCAATGGCTATTCACATAAATAAAGAATAGTGGGATTATTCTTGTCGACAAAGAACAGTCACGCTTCGCAGGATTATATCCAAGTAAAGCATTCAATTTCCATTCAATAATTAATTTTCTAGACCCCATCACTTGAAGAGTGATCTTAATGGCCAAAATACAAGTGACTTCCTGTGTTTACGTCAAATTAACATTTTCTATTGCAGTATCCAAATATTACCAGTAGCCAAAAGAAAGCTGATGGCTTCAAGATCAGTTCTGTGCAAACTTCAGTTAAACCTATTAAAGCCTATTAAGCCTATGCATTTTAGAGGAATATCAACTAGTTACCACAGAACACATTTTGTACATCACTATTTTAAGAAGAACTCGAAGTCTCCAACACTTAGCATATTAAAGTGAACTGAATTCATTTTTTTACAATTCATTACGGAATCTGAGTTGATCAAAAAGTGCATAAATACCTAAAATTGCTGAAATGCAAGCACAAAGAGGAGTAGGAATTCATACGGGGGTGTAGTTTTACAGCTTATCTATACTGCTGCACAAAGCTGTGTTGACTGCTTTTAGTTTGCTACAGGTTTCATATGATCATAACATTTTGTAGCAGTCTTTAGGCGTCTACATCAAGTCAATAAAAGAGAGAGGAAGAAGCAGGCTTGCCAGCTACCCCAAGATAGCATAAAAAATGAGGAATAGGGCCAGTGTGTATTTCAGGACACACACAGCTGGACATGTGCCCCAAGAAAAGCTGGTGAACATTGAGCTCAGAGGTGTTTTGTTGTGGAGCAGAAGGCAAGCAGGAGCAGTGACTTCACAGGCAAGGACATAGTTCTGCAGTAGACAAGCAAAAATAGCAATTCCAATGATCCTAGGAGGTTCAGCCAATGGTCCAGTGCACGCTACACAGACAATCCATAGTCATGGGATGGGACCAAGGCCAAGTCTCACAGACTATACAAGACAGCATACGCACAACATAGCACAAGCAAGGAGTGAGGATTCTCAGGGCAGTTGAAGACTACTGGCATATTTAGGGCCTTAACCATAAACAGACTCACTCAGAAGTGCAGACACAAGCAGTTGAGGGAGCTGTCACAGTACAAGGCCTAGGCAGCAGGAGCATGAATGCACTAGAAATGGCACCGCACTCAACCTGCCAAGTACATCAGTTTGTATTCAACACAGCTTGAGATCCATGAAAAGAGAGGAGTACTGTAGGGAGGTCTGGCCATGTAATAAAAAAGGAAAACACGAGAAGTGCAGACAAAGGTACGTACTGCAACTGTGTGTATTCTGCACTGATAGGGAAGACAGAGCATAACAGACAAGAAAAAATGGATACCTGAAGGCTGTACAACATGATTAGCTTTAGGGAGCTTCAAGAACTACTCCCAACTCTCAGCCAAGGCTCCATTCCAGTGAGGGCACAACCTCTATTAATGTAGTTTTCTCTCATTGAACATCAAACCTTTAGAGATTTTCTGAAAGGGCAGAGGGAATTCTTGTGTGTAAAACACCTTGAAAGACCAATGTCCTACTTAGCTTTGTCTGACTTGCACAGAAAAACAGTCCTGCATGTTATCAACTGTTAGAAAAGTGTGTTTATAGACAATCCTCTTTCCTTTAAAGGACTTTGAAACTGCACAATTCATCAGTTTGGTTTAAAGTCTAACTTGCTAGACTTAATCATTTTATCCCTTTGTGAAAACTGCATATGATCACAGCCATAGCCGTGACTTTTGCTTTACCCTTTTTTACAGGAGGCCACAATATCCTCTTTCTCCAAAGTAGTTTGAGGCATTGCTACCCCTTCTCATCTAATGCATTCAATTCATTCCAGGTAGGAGAACAGAGAGGAGAGCAGAATGCTGAAAATCTTCCAGATCTTGAGATACGAAGAAATACTCACAGGTGGTGTTGATTCTAAATCTCACCCAGCATTGTAAGGAAGCCTCTTGCATCTGCAGGCAGTAACCACAGCATGAACAGGAGACACTGACAGGGACTCTTGCTCTAGCACAAGTCCTTCTTTTGTTATTTGATCTAATATGAATTTACTCATATGTTAAAACAG